ACTCTTACGGGTCACCAAGCTGGTGTTTTGTCGCTTGCGTGGTGTAAGCAAGATACAGACTTGCTCCTATCTTGCGGCAAAGACAATAGAACGATTTGCTGGAACCCGCAGACTGGAGAAATGCTTGGCGAATTCCCCACTGTTACCAACTGGACCTTCAAGACGCAATGGAATCCTCGGAATCCAGGGCTTTCTGCTACTGCCTCTTATGACGGGAAAATTGTCATTCAAACCCTTCAAAACACAAACCCGAGTGCTTCCCCGGAGGTACCAGGCTCCGCCGGAGATGCTGATGATTTCTTCAGCAGAGCAAGCAATGCTCAAACATCATCATTTACTCTCAAACAACCGCCCAATTGGCTTCGAGTACCCGTGGGTGCTTCCTTTGGATTTGGTGGTAAACTGATTAGCTTCAGTACTTCAGAAGCCCAAACAGGACAAACGTCCCACTCTATTGTGAAGATTTCAAAGTTTGCGGTTGATTCTGGTGTCAATACCGAAACGGAAAGTTTTGAAAATGCGCTGAAGGAGGGTAATCTTGAAAAAATATGTGATCAAAAAGTAGAGAATGCCAAGACGGACCAAGAGAAGGCAGATTGGGATGTTCTAAGAACGCTTTTCAAGGAGGATACCAGGGAAAAGTTGATTGAGTATCTCGGCTTCAACGAAGATGAGATAGCAGAATTGAAGAATGAGACAGAAGCTAAAGACACTAATGGCGAAGAAGCGGATGGCGAGATCTCAGGGACTGCGGAAGCCGACGACAAGCGACTGTCTTCATTCTTTGCCGATACTGGAGCTGAGTCGGAAAACTTTCTCGCCGATCTTTCTTCAATTCAATCGACTCATAATGCCAAGACAAACAATCCTTTCCAGATTTTTACTGGTGAAGAATCTGCAGCGGACAAAAAGATCACTCGTGCAGTTGTCCTGGGACAATTTGATAAAGCTGTGGATATTTGCTTGGCGGAGAACCGTATCTCGGACGCCTTCATGCTTGCTATTTGTGGGGGTGAGAAGTGCATCGAGAAGGTAAAGACAGCATACTTTAAGGTTAAAGGACCAAACTATCTCCGGGTTTTGGCATCTATTGTTGGAAAAAATCTGTGGGATGTTGTGCATAATGCGGATTTGGCCAACTGGAAGGAAGTTATGGTTTCACTTTGCAGTTTTGCGGAGGAAAAGGATTTTACGGACCTTTGTGAGGCTTTGGGTGATCGCCTTGAAGACGAGTTACGACAAGGGCGGGGCGACAAGGAGGCCAGAAAACACGCCGCCTTTTGCTACCTGGCAGGTTCAAAGTTGGAGAAGGTCGTTGGTATCTGGATCGAAGAGTATCAAGAAAACGAAAGGTCGGGTCTGCAGGAAAACGACGGAGATTCCACGTTTTCGGTGCATGCCCGCTCTCTCCAAAGCTTCATCGAGAAAGTTACTGTCTTCAGGGAAGCAGTGAAGTTTGTGGATGAGGAAAAAAGTCTCTCTGCAAACTGGAAGTTGCAAGCCCTTTACGAGAAGTATTGCGAGTATGCAGATATCGTTGCCTCCCAAGGGCAATTGGAGGTTGCGGCTCGATATCTCGACCTTCTTCCCATTGAATATCCTGCAGCCACAGTAGCAAGGAACCGCGTAAAGGAAGCTTCTGGAAAAATCCCAAGCGTAACTGCTACTCTTCCAGTCACAGGAGGGAAGCCGCAACAGCAGCCTATCACTAGTGCGTTCGCCCAACAGCGTACCACAACTAAATCTCCATACCCACCTACGCAGCCAATGCAAGCAACTTCCGCACCGAATGTTTACCAGCCCCAAGCTCCCGCTCAGACCCCAAACATCTATACTCCTGCCGGCACGGCCCTATACAACCCTTATACCCCTAATACATCCACCACTACCCAAAATTACACCCCTCAGGCACCTACAAATCAAAACTATTCCCCTCAGGCGACAACTCAAGCTTACAATAAACCCAATATGTATCAACCAACTCAGATGAATCAGCCTACCGGTCCTTACGGCGCTGGCAGTGGTGGTAGTGGTGGGTACCAGCAATATGGCCAACCCCAAACTTTCCAGCCTCCCCCACAGAGACCTGTCCCCTCTTCAATCCCCCCTCCATCCAGGGCTACAAAGGATGTAGGTAACTGGAATGATACTCCTGAGGTTGTCAAGATCCCCCCTCGTCGTGCGGCCTCTACAACACCAGGCCCACTAACGTCTCCCTTCCCCAATGTTCCTGGTGCGCAACCTTCACCGCCTATCTCAGGTAGTTTCGGTGGACTCCCGGCCCGTGCGCCCACAGCCCCTCCTCCAAGGGGTGCTTTGCCTCCGCAACGTATCTCATCACCTGCTCAGCACTCTAGGTCCCAATCGCCGGCTCTGCAGCAACAACAACAGTCTGGGCCTTATGGTGCGCCAGTGAACCAAAGCTTCCCTCCGAATGCCGGATATACCACTTCCGCACCGCCACCTCCAAGCGGAAGATATGCTCCTACTCCTGCGGCGCCAATGTCGGTCCCTCCGGGGCGTCAAAATGCGGCTCTTCCACCTCCGCCTCAAGGGGCTGCTCTTAGTAGGGTTGGCGGCCTTTCATCAGGACCGCAGTACGCACCTCCACCGATTAGCTTTGCCCAGCCATCTGGGTCTTCCCAATACGCACCCACACCCCAACAGCCCCCCAGTATGTATGGGCCCCCTCCTGGTAGTCAGCAACCTAGCCAATATGGGCCCCCTCCTGGTAGTCAGCAACCTGGTCAATATGGACCTCCTGCTGGTAGTCAGCAACCTGGTCAATATGGACCTCCTGCTGGAAGCCAGCATGGCCACCTTGGAAATATTCAGCCTACACCGCAGTCTCATCCGCCTCCTCCTGCACAACCGACACCACCTCCGAAACCCCAGACACCAGCGCCACAAGCATCCAAATACCGTGAGTCAAAGTCCTACCCTTTCAATTCTACGCTGACATATTAATCTCCATGGTAGCTGCTGGTGACCGATCGCATATTCCCTCGCAATATGCACCCATTTATGAGCTTTTGACCGCAGATTTGGAGAGAGTAAAACAGCGGGCACCTCCAGCATTCGCCAAACAAGTCAAGGATACCGAAAAGCGCTTGAATATCCTGTTTGATCATATTAATAATGAGGAGTTGCTCTCCCCCGAAGCTTTGGAGTCTATGTTGTCACTCTCGAGAGGTTTGTTTTCAAGCCTTTATGTTGGTTTCGTTGATTATGACTAATTTCATGTAGCTCTATTTGGCCGAGATTATGCAACCGCACACTCTATTCAGGTTGATCTTGTCACAAACCGGACTGCGGAGTGTAACGTATGGATGACAGGTGTAAAGAGGTTGATAGAAATGAGTAAGGTGACTCCTGAGTAGGGTAGGTATCCTGCAAAAGAAGTACGTAAAGATTATTTTTATTTTGATCAATAGAGAAATTTATATCAGGTGGCCGGGGGGGCCTGTTTTGTTTGCTTTCTAGTAGCTGGTTTATCTTTCAAAAAAGTAAAAGGCATTGATCTGATTTGGTTTGTGTTTTGTGTTTTGTGTTTTTTACCTTCTATTGGACATATGTGTAGCCTCATTAACTGTCCCGCTAGCCTATCAACTACGTGTATTTAATGGTAAAGAATAGTTGATGGATGACGACAGAGCACATGAATAGCACCATTTGTTCTAGAACGTGAATAAGTAAAACTCCTAAAGTATATACCTACATTTATGTATGTACTTCGGGCTTAAGTGGGCTTACAATTAACTGTCTTCGCCCTGATCAGCTGAATATCGTTTTTTAATCGACATGTAATGTTCATGTAGTAAGGTCTGTTAATAGGGCGTATTTACTAAGTGTCATTTTTGACAATTGACACTTCGAAATTGACGGTTGCAAAATGCAAAATTGACACTTCCCCTCCATAGGGATATGAAATACGCAAGCCGCAAAATGGCACTTGTGGATGCCGCTTTGGAGAGTGGCGAAGCGCCAATTGTCAGAATTGACGGTTAGTAAATACGCTCTAATAATGATAAAATACATGTATGCAATTAAATCCTTAACCCTAACCCCAAATTAGGCTGCGACGAGTTCGCACTACATATACATATCAGTATTTTCTGGGTGTTAATAGCGAACGACCAAGCCAAAGACAGAGATTCAATAACCAAGTACTAGTATGTATGTACTCTAGGTACTGGTTGACAATTTTATGATCCAATGGCCCTTGTTGGTGTGGAGCCTTGAGTACATGTATCCAATGCGTAGTCTTCAGGAGAAATATTCCATAGAATTGTCGGCATCCCGAGCAATATGATTCTTCACTGACTTGGTACTTCATAGAGTCTGACTCGGTACTTTATAGCCTGATTGGGCACTAATCATAGAGTGTGGTTCGGTTAAGCCTGGCCAGCTTATTAAAAAATATATAGTAGTCATTTCCGTTAGCTTCGTCTATTCCGATTTATTTTCTTTATCCTGCATACACAGTTATGTATTTCTTTATCAAAAGTTTCTCTGGATCTAAGTCATGATACTACTTCTTTGTTTCAAACAGACTCTTTCTGAAACTTGTAGTTTATACTCGCAAATGTGAGGTCCTTCTGCAGATCTGATTTTGATTGACCAATAAGTGCGCATTCGCCATTGAACTAGGTTCGCCATTGACCCAGAAAGAACTACAGGTAAGTACTGTACCTAGAGTACACATTTGTAAAATGTACCTGCCTGTCTGCCTTGCTGTCGCGTGCTCTGCATGTCCCGGATACTGAACCGAGAAGCAGGGAATCTACGGTAACCTAAAATATATTGAGGCTACATGTACTTTACCTTATGCACCGTTGAAAAAAAAAACACCAAACAAGGCCCCTTTCCCAGCTATATCGACGAGACAACGCCTAAACAGAAGTGCACGACCCTACCCTTAGTCACAGCCCTAGATAGAAACACGCCATATCTGTCCGATACGTCACCGCCGAACTTCATCCTTTAGACGGGTTTACAGCATGGCTTCCCCGTTGACACTCGATCCGCGTCCGAGCTTTGAACCGAAAATCGTATCGCTTTACAAAGGCTTATTTAAGGTACGGGCTCGACAATCCTCACTTCGCCAAAGGTAGTCACAAGATTAAGTTAACTGGTGGAGGTCTTTTAGGAGGACGATGAGGAATACGATGAAGTGAAGTCTGAGGGTTTCTGGACAGAGTTCTTCTTGCTCAAGTGCCATGCCCCAGGCCTGAGGTCCATACTCGAACCTTTGTCACCAGATGACCTGCTTCATCTGCAGGTATGAATGGGTTCCAGGAGAGGGGGAAGCTTGTGTGGAATGGGAGGCTGACGGGTGTTAGCCGCAAACAAGACAGCTGTTTTGTCGCGCCGTCAATTGTGTCAAAGCTGGCGCCAGTCCTTCGGATGAGATTGCACTGGATGTGAGGGCACCCGTTGATTTCTTCTTTAAAAATTTACTTGTAAAGTTGGGTGTTGCGAAGAGGGCTGACAGCGATTACCACAGACGTTAAACGTATTCCTGCGAGAAGTGCTCTCAAAGAAATACACAAATCTCAGCTCAGATATCATCTCTTTGCTGACCGGGCTGGATAATGTTGATTCAATATTTACCGATTTTGTTGCTTCGCTGGATACGTGTATCAGGAGCGGACGTAGTGGTACGGCACTTTGAACTATTATGGAATAAGGTGGTCTAATTAAATAATATTGTAGTCGAAGCGCGACGGAAAGCCATACAAGTAGCTGTGTGCATAGCCTGCGGGGCCTTCCAAACTGGATTATTATCGTATTTTACACATCGGGATCTGTTTCCGGCCCTTATGAAGGTATGTATAAATTGGTGGGAGATTCGAATATTAAAGCTCATTTTTGTAGTATATAAACGACCCGGAAACAGTTGGACTTTGTTATGAGCCGTTTGTCTTGCTTGGAGTCCTGGCTAATTGTAGGTTTAAATATGCTGCTGGTATAAATAGGTTATTGATGGCGATTCCGCTAACAAATGCTAGACAACAAATTCGAATTCCAGAACCCATATCAGCTGCGGTTCGACGATTTTGTTAATGAGCCTACAATAAAGAGGATTGTGGCAGAAATAGGAAGCACTTGTGTCCGAACAAGAGCAGACTATATCTCCATTCATGACGATCTACCAGAAGGGTGGTCATTCAATAACGTACTTACATTTGTTGGTCTCACGATCTTATCCGGAGCCGGCCCAAGAAGTCGATCAACATCACCTGCGCCGGCAACAAACCCTGATGCACATAAATTATCATTCAACACGCTGTACGTCTCTAAATATCTTTGGTACATAGCAAGCTAATTTGTGATTACAGACCAGGGCCTAGGGCTGCACTTTTGCTGGCGACATATGACTTTGTCAATGCAAACAAGTTGTTTGCTTCTAACTTCGTAAATTATCAGGAATCTGATCCTAAATGTAAGCAGACTATCGGATTCTCTTTCGGCAATGTTTTTAATATGGGAGAACAGGCGAATCACCGATATGCTCTTACATATCTCTCACATCCTACCTCCTCCATCATGCACATCGTTCTCCTCGGTCCTCGCTTTACGCTCGCTTAAACCTCCTCGTTATCCGTATATTGCTAGAAGACCAGGCATTATGTAAACGGTTGACTAGTGACGAAACAAAGGCATTGGTGCGCCTATGTCGCCAAAAACAACCCCACTTGCCCGTGATGCGCACAAAACGGCCACTACTGACAGCAATAATCGACGCGGTTGTAGACGGAATCAACCACAATTTAAGGAAAAAGCTCGATGTTGATCTGTATAGTTCCTGTGTTGGAGTATTGGTTCGATCCGTATCATTTCTCATTAGAAGTAGGACTCGCCTGAGTAAGTCACTCAAAGTAACCCCCAATAGGTGTTAATATATTAACCTTTTCACTAGCATATCACTGGTCCGAGCTCTGGCGGTGTATTCTTTCTCTAATCCGCTTCTTCTCATCATACGCATCAGATCTGAAAGATCTACCCGGTATTCTAAATTTCATAGACGATCTTGTAAACCTTATTGCCCTGGCTCTTTCAGTAGGTGATGCATTTCTTCCGGGGGCTGCCGAGTATGATGACTTGTTCTACAAGCTTGTCGAGGCTGGCGATGTCCTTGTCAAGTTTCGAGATGCCTGTATGTCTCGCCTTCTATCGTCCTAACCAATGGAGAAACACAGGGCTAATAAAGACAATCCTTTCTAGATGGCCTTGAAAACCGTACCTCTAACTCCATATCCACGCTCATCTCGGTATCTGAGCATTACTATCAGTTGATCTCCGAGAACCAGACAAAGACAAAGTCAAAGAACCTTTCCCCTCAGCAGGTTAGTGAGGTTATCAAATCTGGGTATGAGACGCTTGCGATCACGAGCAAGGATGGACTGGATAGTTGGGAGCGGTATCGGGAGGCGGATGAGCGCGCATTCCTGAAGAAAGCGGCCCGGGTGGCCGTGGGTGATGTTAGAGAACTCATGGGGACTGAGTTGGAGGCTTTTGTTTAATCATCCCAGTTTTGTTATGTCGGGAAAGGTAATGGTTTGATTGTGTTTTTTGGCAGGTAATGGCAGGCATGGGGTTTATGAAGTAATGGTAGAGTGTAGAATTAAGGATTCCAATGAGAAATAAGATATTCCTTTAAATTGTTCATACCCCATTCATAGAAAATGTACATATCAAAGATAGCGAGCGCAAAGGACCTTGCTCCTTAACCATCAAATACCCAACTAAGAAAAAAAATGTTAAAACAAATAAAAAACGCCAGAACGCTAAAAGAGTGTGACAATGTCTAGAACCATAGGTAGCATAATCAATCGCAATGCAAAAATATTTACAGGAGGTTTTTGATACCTAACCAAAGATCCTCAACGTCAAGCTAGTACTGCAGTTGTTCCCCGTGCCAAGTAAGGGCCAATGATCGCACTACCACATTTACTCACTACAACCTCGGCGTCTTCAAGTCCACATCCGCATACCCCGGAGAGAAAGGCTTCGCCCCACCACCATCTGGACTCCCTAGCGGCGTAGTCCTCGAACTCACAAATGTCATCGGCTTCGGCGGGATCTCCCTTGATCTTGCCCTCTGCTCCAGCCCACTACTGGGCGACGAGCCCCTCCTTTGACCATCATACGGCATATCGGTATTGTTGTTTGAATCCGATCTAAACGAAATGTACTCCTCGTCCTTTTTACCATACGGTACCTTGCCCCTAAACTCTGCCCATATCCGGCGTATCTGCCGTCGAGACTCGCGGGTGGTGCCGAACACAACGAGCATCAGGTACCCCGTGGACGCGCTGGCAAGGTAGAATGCCCAGTCTGCCAGCTGCTCGGAGGCCGTCCAGCCTAAGTGTGGGCGTGGTGCCAGGGGCTCCTTGAGGGCCTCGATGGTTTGGGCATAGGTTAGTTGCGAGAGGAAGTAGGATGTTTGGAGGCCACCAATGACTGCGAATCCGGCTAGAAAACGGAGGAGGATGTAGCGGTCTTCACCATCAGTGGCTGAGGCGTTGGAAATTGTGCGCCGGATGCCGGTTTGGTGACCAGGCGGGTTTCTTCCGTGGCCGTTGTCGTAGCCGCGCCAGGCGCGGACTTTGTGGGTCCAGTTGGAGGTCCACATGACAAGGAGACAGCGTGCTAGAATGAGGCCCATGAAGATGCAGCCTAATGTGAGGGTTATAGCCACTGGTGTCTATGTTAGCTGGCTGACTTAGATTGTTGGTGGTGATGGGTATAGGTTACTTACTGGTACAATTTCCGAATATCAAATGAAGAGTTGGGATCTCTATTATTGGCTCCAGGTTCGTAAGGACAAGCTGAAAGATTGGAAGTATGAAGCAGAAGTATTTTGTCCCTGCCACGAACTTCTCGGATTTGAGTACTCTGGATTCAATCTCCCAGACGGAAACAAAGAGCATGAGACTCCAAAAAAAGAACAGGAGACTTTCAACGTTAAAGAAATATGTTCCTGGACTACATGTAAGCCTTTGTTTTTACTCGTCTGAATATTGTTTGTTCATATACTCACTCATTTCGAAGAGGATCTTAATAGCGACATTGGGCGAAGTCTGATAAACTATTGATGCCTCTGAATTGCGCCACTGCTCCAAGTTCATCTCGTATGTTTCGATCTGAAGCAGTGGCCAAAGCGCTATTGAAAATGACTCTTGTGTTACTGTGAGTATATTCTGCAGGAATATAGACAATGACATCAAGGAAACATCTGTATATGCAGGATCAGCAAGAGTATGTGTTTCCTCTAAAAGTGGTTAGAACTTACAGACGACTTGTTTTCCATTTAAGCGAAAGAGAAGATGTGTGAATCCAGCTGCAGCCACACTACCGCAGGTATATATGATTATAAAGGTTGCGAAAACAATGACCTCTGGGTAGAGTTCTACAGAGGGCACTTCGTTGTCTGACATTATTGCGATAAAGACAGTAAAAGAAGAGGGATGTTAAAGACTGGTGCAATACTCTTCTCCGAAGAGCATGCACTGAGTAAAGAGAGCCGAATAGCAAGAAAAATCAAATGAATGTAGTAAAGAACGTGGAATCGGCCTGCCGAGCTGTATGGAAATGAGTGACTTAGTTGGTTGTATGTAAGTTGCGCATCAATCAAGATGGCAGGCAAGCAGGTAGGTGGATGATTGTTTGGAAGATGCAAAGGGGACAGAAACTATGGTGGGGAGTTCCATTTCATTTTATTCAAAATTTGGACGTGTATTGTTGGAACATATCACCGGTTCACTAGCTCGCCGAAAATGAGCATGTGGTTTGAGATTTATACATGAACTAACTCCAGGCGAGCGAGCATGGGAAAATACTCTCACCCTAGCAAGCCTTTGGGGGTCTTCCGGTGTTCATAAAGGTACGCAGGTACATTGGTAGGCTTTGGTAAGGATTTCCGGCGAATCTTCGCCCGGTACCGGAGGTGGTTGTGGTAAAAAAAGCTCGGGTGAGGCACAGACTGGAACATCCCGAGACTATTCGAGAGGCTCTACAGTAATTCCAATTAAGGTAATCTAAGCGATTCTAAACTTTATAGTAATGACTTTTGATGGATTTAATTGATTTTACGAACCCTCATTCTCTGAGGATTGGAGTTTAGACGTAGGACGGATTGGGGAAAACTGCCGAGCCTCTGGTAATGACCGACATCTCAACGTTCGGATCTTGAAATGTAGAGAGCAAACAGGTATACTATCTGACCTAGATCTGCTGATAATTTATCAATTGAATTTTCAATTCTCCTGTTAGTATTTATCTTTATAATTACTTGTTCTGTTATCTTCGCAAACACCGCCTAAGAAAGGAAATCATGTCAAGCAGGGTTGCGCAACGCAGGTACCAGTAATGCTTACCCGGTAGACAGAACTCCTCAGCCACCCTCCCTGACCGTACCTTAAAGTCAAAAGGACTGTTTCTCCCCGCAGTGCGCTGTGACTTCTCTCGGTTCTGGCGAGGTTCCCGGTACTACTAACCTTGGCTGAAACTCTGAAACACGCCTTTTGTGAGTATTGGCAGGAGAAATGACTGAAGCAGGACGATGACGAATTGCAAATCGAGCTTAAATCCGCTTTCTTATTAAGCTGTATCCCCTGTTGATCGCTGAATATAATGGCCTATGTGTAGGTTGAGGCTCGTGTTAGTATTGTAAACATATAATAATTATCAGATACCTCGAGTGATTTTTAATGTGGACGAGTCAGAGTCGATGATAACTCGACAATGTCTTCTTTCCTGTGTGAACTATGATGGGCAAATCACATTACTCGAATCAAACTTTAAAACCTTCGGAGAACCCTCTTTGCTGACAAACAAATGTTTCCATTGAATGCATACCATGAAGTAATCAATCAATCAATCAATTGAATGCATGTCGGTCCGGTGGATCTCGGTGAGGGAATGAGCCTAGTGTGGCTTAGCTATCGCGCCACACCTACCCATACCACCATGTCAAGTCTTAATCTTCCTAATTACAAATTCAATAATTCAATTACAATAAGATGCCTATGAATGCATACAATATCATAGCCTACAGTAGAATCATCTGGCATAAACCTTTGGAATTTCTTTCACATATTATCACTCGGACCCAAGGTACTTAGGCGTAATCTTTAGAATCCAGTTACTCCTGTTAAAATCTAATGTTACAATAAGTGAATACGGATACCAGCCCTACTCCCACTAAATTAAGTCGGCATTCCGATAGTCAATCTAAGGTAGTTAACTATCGTATTTCTTGTACAAAAAAAGGTAAAATTCAAGGAAATACGTGTTTAAAAAGCCAATTTGTATCGTTCAGTCATACCCAAACCAAAGAGAAAAAAAGACCGTATAGTTTTCGTTACCATCTCCCATTCGACGCACCATAAGGAGTAGTTCCACCAAAGCCACCGGCATATGGTGTTCTAGCGTCTTGGCCGCCGCCAGCACCATAAGGTGTCTCGTATCCTCCGTTGCCCCCCATCCCACTCATTGAGTAATCCTGTCCAGGGCTTCTCATTCCGTCACCGAAACCATCGCCACCCTCGTTCTTATTGCCTAGAGTGTCGATAACGGATGCTAACTTCTCCTGGAGATACTTGATCCCTTGCTGCATGATCTCATCGGGGGGTAGGGAACCAACAGATTCAACATCAAGGTAAAATCGGGATGGTAAAGCATCGTAGTTGAAGGGCTCGCCTTCTACGGGTGGCTCTTCCCAATCTGCATATTTGGATTTGGGCCTATTATGATGAGTATGAATGGTCCACTACTTGTTTTAAAGTGGGAATGGGATGATGTCCTTACCATTCCGCCTCTGCGCTTTCCTCATACCAGTAGTCAATATGCCTGAGTTTATTCCATGGATCGTACTCAAAGCCCATGGCCGACACAGGCGACCACTTTGCGTGCTCCTTCGCAATCCCCTTCTTCGCAATGCATTTCATTTTGAGTTCTTGCCCTTTTCTCAATTTACAAATGATAGCTCCCTGGCCCTCCTTGTCTGTCATTCATTATGCAATCAGCGCTGACATTGCCGTAAACGTGGCCGCCTCTTTAACGTACCTGTAATAACCGGAGATCCCAACTGTGCCCCCTCCGCGACCACCAAATCCCTCGCGTAGACCGTGACGTTACTCTCACCAGTGCAACGGGCGTGGAGTGTCAGGATGACTGAGCACTTCTCGCAGTACATTTCACACATGCAATCACGTGAGTAGATGAGCTTATCATCGATGTTGGTTGAGTCCAACGGTATCATGCCCAATCGATGACATAAGAATTCGTCGGGAATGACGGAGGTATTTGCTTCGATCTCCACGGTATCGATAGCTGGAACCCCGTTTCGCTGTCAGTCAACCAGTCGGCAATGAGACAACGGTGATGCGGATAACTAACCAACTGTCGGAACCTCAGCTAACATAATCCTTCGTAGCGAGTTCGCGAAGCTGCAGAAACATGTTAATAACGCTATGAGGTAGCGGGGGGAGTCCCACATACGCCAGGTCGCAGTTGGACAACACAATCTGAGCATGCTTGTTGTCGGCCTCTTTAATGGTGATTTGAGCTGTAGACACTAGTTAGCATTGCCGATTAGACCTCTCTAGCTTTAGATAGGCACATACGCCCGCGATCAGAGCCGTATAGTTGGTCGTAGTCATCCATTGTTAAAGGAGTTGGAAGTGATGGATGTGGATGCGGGTAGGAGAGCGCAAACACCTGTGGATGCAGGCCTTCACGAGTAGCGGCTCTTCGCCAAGAGTCGGTTTGTCAGAGCAGGCTTGCAGGGTTTAGGGTCCAGATATAGAGAAGTGTTTACCCGGCCTGACATGTTGATATCTAGTCTCGTGCCCATACCCTACGAGCTCGAGCAGCTTGCTGCTAGCTGCTGAGTACGAGCCTAGGAAATATCTATTCAAACTCTATTTCTATACTATGGTAGCGTTTGAATAGAAGAACGTTTAAAAAGGCATGTTTCCTGGACCCAACTATATTCCCACCCCTTGGTCCTAGGTGTCGCTTGTATCAAACATTATATTATACTCACTCAGCCATATCACAAATATTTTTTCTCGAGTCTTGGGGGAGATATAGAACACAAATCCGTAACTAATTAAAATCATTCTCATTGTCACTCTTAGGATAAATAATGACCATGTTATGTGACATCAACTCATATGTATTTACAAACCTGATCGGAGAAGGCGATATTTAGGGGGAAATTCAATTCATATTTACAAACCTGATCGGAGAAGGCGATATTTAGGGGGAAATTCAAGCTTGACCCGGACGTGGACTATACTAGTATTATAAGTATTAAAAATTTCTTTATGCAATGTTACTTTAAAGAATATTCTTCTCGGCCACTTACTCGTATAATAGCGCCCAATCATTAAGCATACATGTATATATGCATTCGAGTGGACCCCACCAACCTTTTGATATTGTAAATATCGTATCGAGAGACAGGAGTAAAAAAAGGTTTTTTAAGATCATTATTTCAGCAGATAAAAAGAGATTACTGGAAGCTATCTGACTTCTATCCTTTGTCAGTTTTCAGGGGTGAGTTGAACCGTTATTCTCAACGTCTCCATCACAAGTTATCACTCGGATATAATTGGCTCTTTTCAAACGTATTCCTTAACCTCGATAATATAGCATCGAATAGTACGTGGCATATGTTTAAACTGAGTTTGAGGATCAAATTAACGCTCGCGTTCGAGTCCTCTCCGAGGATTCCCTTGTGTATTGGCGGTACCCCACACGCGAGCGGGTACCTGCGAAGGAATTAATAGATATGGGATTGACACATATCTAGTTAACTAGCATGAAACGCCACTTGGCTTTGCGCAGTAATCTTTGGGATCTGGGAAGAAAGTGCATGAATGGTGCATGCACATGCAACACGGAACCAGAAAAGTGACGCATAAGTGCATGTTCGTATCGAACTGTAGAGTAGGTACACAACACCGAAAAACAACCTATGGGTCGCAAAGTGCATTTTTACTCCTGACTCTCACTGATAGCCTATTCAATCACAGTTAGGGCGACTGATCATACATACATGCATTCATAATTAATGCCGATCAATTACCCCAGTGTAATGATCATCTCTTTTGCAACTTCTATTCCAACTGTAGCCACAGTCTCTTTTAGGAGTGAGTGTATAACAGTATCGTCTTCGAACCCAACCAGATCCTATTTGTTTTCCAATTAGATTCAGTATTCTGCATTTTGATATTGCATGCCTCATTACCTTTGCTTGTGCCCTGGTGCCTGCAACGTCAATATTGACATTCCCAACATCGAATTCCTTCAGTTGGCGCTCCGTCAATAGACCAGGCATTTTGGTCTTAAAAACATAACCGGGATCTTGAACCTCGGCATTCTCTTCGTTTGTTTCATCCTCCTCTTCCTCTCCTGGTTCCTCAGTCCCCTTCGCCTTATCATTTGTCACTACATTGTCACCCGACTGCATTCTAGCTCGGACCTCTGATGGGCAAACATATTTGCTTTTGTTCAGGAGATTTTTCAGATCGTCGTTGAGAGGATTCCACTCGTATGTCTCAGGATCTAAAAGATCAGAGGGACTGTATTCCATTTTATACAGCATCTTTGGGCAAGATTGTATGTAATACCCTAAAAAAGTATCAATATATAGTGTCGGGATAGCCTTTTATCACCCGACAAGAAAAGCAATCTATTAACATACCCATATTGTAATATCGGTAACCCCCTTCCTTCGCCAAAGCAGCTTCCCTACACGCACTCAACTTGCCGAAACTCCATTTGACGTAGTCTTGGTGATAAATGAAGTAGACACCGCTCACAGAGTTTGGCAATAAGTCCAATACGGACATTGCTACCAACCGTCCATCAACGCGATAGCATTGATGAAATGAGCCGAGCTTCTTGTCAGAATTCCGAGGATACGTTAATGGTGATGCGCACAAAAACCGCCTGAAACCGTTCTCTGAAGTATCTTCCTTGTGAATATTTCGTTGATAGTTTTCAAATAACGCGTACCTGAGGGTGAATTAGGACTTGAGGACTTGATAAAGGTAATGTATCTATTTCTTGTCGGAAAGGAGTGACAAAAACCAGTGAGCAATCCAAGTCATACTTTTCTTCTGAGAAGTCAGATGCCTCGAGATTAATTTCTAGCCTGTGCGCAGGCTCTGGAGGCGTTTGGTGCTGTATTATAGAGTATTCAGGGGCATGAACACTCTCAATAAGGTCGAATTCATTTTTTTGTTTCTTCTTTTCTCTATTGAACACCGCATTTGTTATCAGCTATGCACAGCACCAGGAAATAGGTTGTAGTATTTATGTGCGAAGCCCTTTCGATTTTCCCCTGAGTCAGAGACTTTCTCAACAAAAGCAAACATACTCCTTGGATTTGGGAAACAGTTTTGCCGCTTCTCGTATATATTCTTCCCCGAGAATATATCGAGACCACTTATGCAAGCATTGGCGCTGATCTCGTGAAGGCTTGAATCTATGGGTATCTAATCTGCAACAAGCATTCCCGTTATTTTTTTTTTTTTTTTTTTTTTGAGCACTGGAACCTGGTACGGGAAATAAAGGCAAGGCAAATTTGCCGTTTATTGGCGATAACTTACCTGATGGTGTACTGAGGACAGCAAGTGATCTTCATATGCGGTTTGTACAGCAAAGAGCCGCTTCTGCATCAGTAATAATTTTGTATCAGCCCAATTCTTAACACGAGAAAATACATTATAAAGAAATTAAGCGGACGTTCTCACCGTCTCCAACCACGGTTAATAAGTAGCTCATAATGATGGACGGACAGTTTTTGTGCCCTGAGGTAGAAAGAGCAACCTAAGGCAGGGTTGCTGTCAGTCTAGTCCTGGTTACTGCCAATGTGTGCTGCAGCATATAAGAGAAATCAGACCGCAACAGCATCGAGTCTAGCTAATTGGACAGGGTTGCTGTGCAGGGTAAGGAATTGGCAGATTTACTTCCGAAGGATGTCTTGCAGTAACCGCATCTATTACCCGATGATGAACCTGTGTTGCTCCCCGCCCCAGGGAGGGGTGAGTGTAAGCTGGGATGTTTCTAGTGGATAATGAAGAGCACGGGGTTGAACGATTCGACGAGAAAAGAGATGTAAACGTACCCACGTAGGAGATGAGAGTGACAGGATCGTGTGCGTCGTTTGACATTGCATACATGTAGATAGGTTGGTTCTCGCGAGTGGGGGGGCTAGCTTCCGATTTGTTGAGCTTTATGAATTAAATCAATTGGAGGGGGGAACGGGTAAGACTGAGCTTGGAGGGTTTGGGGGAAAGGGAAAGGCCCTTGATGAAGAGGAAGAGGTGTAATAACACGAGAGTTGAGGCTACAACGTCAATAGTGGATCGAGAAATGGAGGATGTCGGTGAGAAGAGGTTGGATGCTGCTTTGAATTCCCGATAGAGGGGTGAAGATCGAGGAAGCTCGGGATAGAAGTGGCGGTAAGGCACAATATGTAGGCTTCCCTCGACTGCCTGTAGCTAATGAGTGGGGAAGAATATGCCCATGATGTGAGTCTAAAGGCTATCAGACAATATTGTCAAACACCACGAGGAGCTCATAATGCTACCTGTAAACCCCAGCTATCCTTACGGTGCTTATTGATTTTTCCCACATGTGCTCAATCTCCATCTTTATTGTAGATCTAACGTAGATCGAATATTGATTAAATTCTCCAATTCAAATCCTCGATGTATTATGTTATACGAACGGAAAGTAAGCCTTTGCAAGTGGTGTTTCCCTGGCACCATAGCTATCGTGGCGGAGAATATTCCATCCAGTTTTCCCGGAGCATTTGTTTTGCTTGTACATACAGCTCTGGTATACGTTTGCGGGAACAGTAGAAAGTGTCAAGTAAAATAGCTAGAACGCACACACGTTGTTCGTTGCACAAGGGAGAGAGCTTATACTACTGGAATTCCTTCTTTCCCCAGATAAGACCTCTACCAAGATATATGGTGCCAAGGCAATCACTAACAGTAAAGGAGTTGAAATAAGAAACGGGGGAAAGCAAACAAGATCGCAGTTTCGTCTACTTACCGACATGTATGTACGCATGTTGTTGTTCTTTTCATCGCGTGGTTCTTACCGAATGGTAGCGAAAAAAAGAATCAAACTCGGATGACCCCGCGGTACCCTCATCCTTGTTAGGAGTAAACTGCCCCTCTTTGTTGTTGAATTCGAACCTCAAGCCCGAGGCCGTTTCGTTGAAAACACACCCATAACCCATATGAATGCTACCATTGGGCTCTCGTGAGACCGCTCCTTCCAGATCTCTAAACCCTGCTTGCATTACTGCCCAGCCAATTCCTCCATCTCGTTTCCATCGCCAGAGTAGCTTGATTGGAGTCGACCCTCCATACATAGCACCATCATGCTTAGCGGGTACATACGAGCGGCGGCGGCGCAAAGGCATGCGCAAAGGCAAGACAGTTCGATCTCACTTTTTTAACCTACAGGCTACTACGGCAGAAGGTAATCCAACCCACGTCCGACGAGGTTCTTCCCTTCCCGTTCGAACGGAGTTGAGGGCACACTCAGTTACTCCCCATGTTAAGCAGCGTCAGGCAGCACCAGACTGCTTCTGCCTGCTTGCTGTCCATCATCTCACTGGCCGTGTTGTTCCTAGTGAGGAGTTTGGGGTTGGGGGGGGGGGGGGGGGTTGCAGGAGTGGAGGGGGGAGAAAAATCAAACCAAAGACAGTGCAAGGGCGAGGGGTGTGAGGATATTGATAGAGCACAAGAGGATAGAAGTCAGAGCAAGAGATCGAATGGAACAGATGTTGTTCATCGTGCTGCACAAAGATTAAAGTTGCACTTCCTTCCTCCTTCCCCCGTATAAAGCATGAAGGTACCTTTCCGTTCCCCTTCATGGCCATCTCCACGGACCCGCCCTTCACGCAGTATGATGTCTTCAGATCCGTAGTTCCACCAACGAAACTTTTCTCTTCTCTGCGACAAAATTTCGCTATATAGAGAATCCCATCTGTCCTCTTAGTCTTTTGTCGTCTTGACCGGTTCGCCTCGTCCACAACATATCTCTCCGCCGCGCCGGGAACCATCCGGCCCTCAAGCTCCCCCTCGTCTTGAAACAAAAGAGCATTGTTTTCAGCCCCACTTGCCAATTTATTGTGCATCGACCTGAATAGGATTTGCTTTGTGAACCTTCAACAAAAGTCCAACAAGGAAAAGGTCACGCCACTGAAACCGACTTCCCATATCTTTCTATTCCACCTAGTAGTGAAGGCCAAGTGAACTTGAGATGGCTCACAGTCGATCCATGGAGGTCGGTTCCTACTCAAGGCATTTACTGCTATATGTGCATATACTGAGATACAGTTTTTCAGGCCCGCGTTGGGAGAGTCAAGCAAAGTATGTATCCTATTCGCCAATATAAAATTCAGCGCAAACCCAGAGCCCTTCGATTTGTCGTTTTATTCTAAATTACTTGGAGACTCATTGCTCACGTTATGGAATTTCCAGGATATGCACCCGACGGATCACGTCTTGTTGCGGGTGTTGTAGCGGTTTCGTCAGATAAGAAAAAAGTTCTTGTCGTTGAATCAACAAACCGTAAGAACCACTGGGTCTTGCCCAAAGGTGGTTATGAGACGGATGAAGCCAATCCGGAAGATGCTGCAACTCGTACGAAAGCCCTTTCTTTTCTTTTTCTTCATGTCACGCCCAACCTCCGGGAGTGACGTTAACCGAACTTTATTTTCCGACGTTGCTGTGACACTGCCCTCCAGTTAAATTTTGAAAAGAGAAAAAATAAAAAATGCTAATTCAATGCGCTTTTCCGTTGACAGGCGAAGCTTGGGAAGAAGCTGGCATCACTGGAAAGGTCACGAGATCACTCGGCGAAATCAAGGATCCCCGCCCAGTAGTGCCCGAAAAACGGGTCCAGCGCTCGTTATACTACTTCTTTGAGTTCAAGGTGGAAAAGGAAGAATCGGAATGGCCGGAGATGCACAAGCGGAGACGCACCTGGTTGACCTACGAGGAGGCCACCAAGTGTTTCAAGGTGATGGGTAGACCTGAGCTACAAGAAGCAGTCGACCGCAGCAGCGTCAGTCGGTAGTCGATGCTCGAATTGGTCGCACACGCAATACGGGCCAAATTGAGTATATCTTAGGCTTATCGGGAGAAGAAGAAAGAGCTTGGCAATATCTAACTCTATTGAAGGCTATTTTTGTTTCTGTTTTATGTGGGGCGTTTTTCTATTTCGTGCTTTCTTTCAGAGTTCTTAGATTCCAAACAGCATTCAGCACTCGAGTTCCATCCCGACAAGTACACTCGAGTCCGCAAAAGATTTGGAAGGCAGTGGCGTGTGGTGTTTCTGACTCCATTTTGTTCAATGTTAGCTTCCTTGATCTATGATGTTTGTTTTTGTTTTTGTTTCCCAATATAAAAGTTTGCAGCGAACATTCACATAGCGGGCATGGTACTATAACCAGGTCTGAGAAAGGTGCGTACAAATTGTCGTTATATGTGTTTCAATGTTCTTGAGTATCCTTTTCATCTATCATAGAATCAAATGGTTAGATGTAGGGATAACTATGGGTTTAGTATTTAGAACTTGGTGAAACTAACTGAAGCCCCCTCATCTTTCTTGTATTAATTGGATAGGTATTTTCTTAAAACCTCACAGGGTATATACAAGTCTGAGCAAGCTTCGACCGGGTTTTTTGGCAGATACTCTTGGAATAGGCAATGCCATCAATTTCTGATTACTGGTTTGTCCCTATCATCCCGTATTTTCTCCAGGGAAATCGACCGAGATCAGCACTCGAGCTCAATGATCATAGATAGGTACGCATAAAGACATCACTTAAGTCACCTGTAGTTATTGCTTTAGCGGAGCTATTACTTCAATGGTTTCATTTGTAGATTGAGCAGTAGGTCCCTCTACTCGCAATCAAACAAAGCCAGCGCCTTCTATAAGAATATATAAAGAGAGCTCCATGGTTCTATAAATCTAACCACAACAGAAAGCATACTAAAGCTAAGACAAATGTTGTCTCTTAGCCACGTGCGCAGTTACCAGAACCGTGTCAACTATAAACTATAAATGGCTGCTGTCCAACTGTAACGGTGTTAATTAACAACCAAGAATTTTCGCTAAACAACGACTTACTCGCCAAGGCAGTTTGTTTACTTACGCCAAGAGCTAATCCCCGACTATAGATTATTTAGAGTACAGTTCACCCGCTGCAATTTGGTACTTGGACTGATCATCCGACCAACTCACATGCTACTCCGACGCTAAGTTAGTCACTGACTAGCTTTCCCGTTATTGTGAGAAGCATATTTTTAATAGGATTCTTCCTCATGCACGAAATACCCTGGGGAAAGTATATCTGGTGACTATACGTCATGGGAATTCTAGTGGTTGCGAGTCATGGGCCATCACTCGGTACATCTTTAACTAAGGGACTTGAAACATCCCTGGCTGAGTGTCGGGCAAACACTGAGAGTCATTCTCTAGAGTTATTGACATTGAGGCTAAACGTGGAAACAGCCGGTGTTCTATCTAGTTTATCACCTAGTTCAACTATCTGTTATCGGTGAATTTCACTTAGGATCGTGATCAAATGTAGTCTCGTGCCCAATCCCTTTCACCTATACTCGCCCAGATTATTACAGTCTTTTCCTCATACAAAATAGCTTCATAAAATTCTCCTATCAAACCGTTTCTAAGAGATTGAGCGCAAGGTTGGAATGACAACACTCATATCCCTCCACCTTAGTTGTATCGACGTTTCAATTTACATCTATCTCATGGGCCGAGTTATTGAGAATTTTGTTCCTTGAAATTTTGCTTCTAGCTTAAAATCGAAGGTAGAATACACGATAAGATAGAATTCCAGATAGACTAACTGTTTGATACGGCACTTGCCGTTTTCAGCTCAGCAGCGCCCTTGCCGGCAACAACAAAAGATACATGAGAAATAGGATACCAAGCTTTGAAGAGTTGTTTCACATTACTCACGGACCAAGGATGGCGGTCAGGGACCAATGGAGGGATGACTGTCTGTTTATATCTATTCCTAATAGTAATAGCGAATCCTGGTCAGCATACCTTTTCGTCATCAGACAGAGAAATCCCTTGGCCCGAATCTAAATAATCATCACAGATCTTGGGGCGATAGGTACTGAACGATATCTCGATATGATAAATCTCATCAATCCGAGCAAGAGAACAGGTATATGAATTACACAGCGTGGTGGAAAATTCTTTACGGATTCCTTCCGTCCGGCCGAGGCTTGTTGTCAACTAGTAGAGCTCTAGTTCTGTCTCCTCGGCGCCCGGACCTCTATGGTAATTCGCTGCTGTTATCAATCTTTATGATGAATAAAGTGCCTACAAAATATCACATGTAATACTCGAAACGTTTTCGTTTCGCCAAGTGAATGAATTCTCAACGGAAATCCCAGATCTCCACCTGCAAGCAAGTGGCGCAATTAAAGGCCTGCTCAAATCTCTGCATAAAATCGATCCTTAATTCGATCTGCTGGAGTAGGCGGTAAAAACCCGGTCAAATATCACCGGATATATTACAAATTATGCAAAATGTTACCTTTTCGGGGTGCCTGGATGTCTGTGTTAGTAACGTATCAACAGGGAAAAAATAAAGTTTAAGCTAGAGACTTGTTAATTAGAAATACATAAAAACACCCATTCTCAGCTTGGCCTCCAGCAACGTCATTAACCCAGGTCTTAGTTTTCAATGGGCTGGCCGCCCTCCTCTGAGTTCTCGTATTTCTCATGATCAATCAACTCTTTCTCAATTCCCATCACCAAGTGAGGCGTTCCGGAGTCTTAGTGGTCAATATAAGCCGAGTTTGCTTGAGCTCATGTCCACGCCTAAGTTCAACTATATGCATAGACCATATACCATGGGAAGAGCTCTGGGTCGTGGGAATCTATCCATAGATAGTCCTAATGCGGGGCCGGTGGCTGTGGGTACGGTTAGGTAAGTCTCAATATTCCGTAATATAACACCATTAAAGTTAACTGCATGCATTTTTTATACACAGTTACATGTATTTTATGTTGTGTTCTACGCCCCAGAGATCCTGCAATTACGCCAAACTCCAGGTTTGCCTCAAGCCAATTCATGTCCAACACTAACAAAAAAACGCTTTATACTCAGGGCCACTACAATCTAGTTTTCCGGGATATATCTTTCGGACAATAAAACCCCCTCTCAAGGTCAGTCCAAGTCAGGAGACGTATATAAGGGCCAGTAAGGAAGGCCAATTTCGTTGCGCTCATAATGTTGAGCGTATTCGAAAGACTGGCACTCTGCATCAAGCGCTATAAAAGTGGTGGCATTGTCGTGCTTCTAAATCCGACCTCAAAGCTGAGGTCTAGATCTGCCATAGGTGCACTTAGGTACTGTGCATCCATATTCCAACATCTGATAAGAAGCCTGATATTATCTACATGCCACCAACAGGGAGGCAACTAAGGCGACTTAACTACCAATGATTTTCTGATCCTGACTGCCGGCCCACTCAATCTGGTGCCAAGAGAGTCCCTGGGCAAGGTGCAACCACCAGAAGGTGACTAAGCTACTGCAATATAAGAAGTCTCAACTTTAGCCCTTGCGGTCTCAGTTCAGCAGCCAGCCGCCCGGTGCTTAGAGTACCCGAAAGGCACATCGCACTTGGGTTTCCCTTGATTGAACGTGCATAGGAAGCTTACTCCTTTTGCCATCCTAATCCAGGAATTATAATCAGATCATATCACATCACTCGCTTGCAAGCCGGGAGTTAAACCAATGCCTAGAGCAACAAGTTCATGTAACTTGATCATTGGTCACTATATCACTGATCTAGGGCAAGCACATGTAACAAACAGTCTGGATCGCTATGACGCAATATTTACGGTAGCTAAGGTGTTGGATGGAACGACAAACATGTCGATCAACAAATATTGGATTTTTGGTAGGTTTCTTCTCGGTGCAGTGAATAGCTTTCATTGGGAAGGACCAGATTGAAAATATTTAGCTCTTAATTCAAGCATAAAGCCTTAGCTGATGACAGGCGTACAAAATAAAAAGTCTCCAATCCCAAAAAATGGAAAGGAAAAAAGGACAAAGGAAAAGAAGCTTTTAAGCTCTTATTTACAAGCAATACTCGAGCATAAAGAACGAAAATAATGATGAGCAAAAAAACAAAAAATAAAACTATGTCAAAAAACTCCTCTGATTAACCCTCGATCACACAAAAGATTCCTAATAATTATCCGAATATCGCGCCGTACCCCTGCCTGTATGAGAAATGAAGAAAGAAAAAGAAAATGTTGCAAATAAAAAAGAGAGAGAAAGAACGGAAGTTCTAAGCATCTTGAATAAGCTCAACCGGAGGTCTCTGAGTGTGGAAAACATTAGTCGGTGCATTGATCTCAACTGGCGACCTCTCATCGCCCGAATCTGTGTAGTCGTCTACTGAGATAGCTGGCATTGACTTTCCATCCTCCTGCTCCTCAGGCTCGAACAATACTACCGAGCTCGCGCTTCTCGGCCTCCTGAACCCCCCGGGACTCGGCCCGGTCTCGTCGCTGTCTTTCTGATACGGCTTGGTATTGCAGTTCAACTTTGCAAGTGCGTGGGCCAGGTCCTCTGCAACGATGGTCGCATTTGGTGGTTCCTCATTCTTGATCTCCCATCCGTGTGGCGGGGAAGGTGGCGGGGAGATGAAGAAGAGCTTCTTGCTCTCCGGCGCCTGGAGGTGCTGGTCAACGGGCTGGATGGGTGTGTGTTCGCCGAAGTAGACACGGGTACGATCACCCATGATTGCCTCGCCATCAAGAGCCTGGCGTACAGTGATTGCATCCTCGGTGCTGGAGAAGGAGCATACGATACGGCGGAAGGACTTGAGGGGTGACCAGTAGACGACGGGGGCGGAGGAGTCAATGATTTCACGGAGCTGCTGAAGGTGCATGGGGTTGAAGGTTTCAGGGTTTACTAGATTCTAAGTGGGGGTTAGTTTGAATTCTATCTCTTCCATCAATGTTGGGATGAATGACGAGTGACTTACGGTGATGAGGAGAGTGTTGGTGGGGACGGCAGGCTGGGTAAGTGGGGGGAGACTTGAAAGATCAAGAGTGAGATGGGAGCCTCTAGATGAGGGTCTTGATCTTGTAGGGCTGGTTGGAGAAAGCTGAGGGGATTGCTGGGGAGAGTCCATTATGAAGATTGGTTTTAGGATGAAGTTGAGGTTGAGATTATTGAATGAAGGAGGTTTTCGATGGTGGTTTGTGTTTTGTGAGGATGGGTTGTGAGGGGAGGTGGGTGGGTTGTTCTTAGCGTTGCAAGAACTTGGTTGAGTTTGATGTTTTGAGAATCTGGATGGAGTCGAACGACAAGTTTTATAAGCTGTCAAGAACGAACGGCCTACGAGTCTGAGACCTCCCCGATTGATAGCTCAGCCAACGAACAGAGTCTAACCAACTTGCAAACTGTCACTTGCGCAGCAAATGTCTCTCGCTTTCTCACTCGCTCATCGGGTTTCGCAAGTGTGTGAGACCTTTAGAGAGGCGCAGCACTTTGGGTCAACAGCGCCGGAAAAGCGAAATCCCACAAGCTGCAGGCGAACGCTTGCCAAGCCCGTCTCTGTTTGTCTCTTGGGTCCCCAAATTAACGGCACCTTGCTCCGCCCTGGGGGAAATTTCACTCGAGATGGAAGGAAGGCTTTTTTTTTTTCTCTTTCCTTTTCTCTTCCTCTTGGGCATTTCTTTCTTTCCCACTTTACGGGCTGAAGGGATTGCCTTCGTGTGTGTTTGTTGTGTTCATGTTGCACGAGAGAGTAAAAAGTGCTGTTTTGTCTTGAAGCCGAGCTGCCTCCCTGAAGGCTCTTTCCCCTTAATGATTATCTATTATTGTTTACCAACGCTTCTTGATTCTTTTTTTTTCCATGGAGTGCATCTTTCCCACCGGGAACATCCACTTCACTACTTTGATAGGTAGAGCACCACTAGCTAGAGCAGGCGCGAATGCAATGCCAGCTGTAGGGTACTCTGAAATGGGACATTTGCATTGTAGAGTACAGCAAGTGGTGGGTGCCCTGTCCTCTCTTCTTACAAATCTGGGAGGGGGGGGGAAGTGAGGGGGGCCACTGGGGGGGACAGTAGATCTTGTGGTATGACCAAGTAGAGCAAAATAGAAGTAGCTACAAGAACTCGCAAGCAAACCCCATGCCCACCGACGGCGGCGGCGGAGATTCGACATATGTTCCTTTTCGTTCCGCCGAAGCTTCCAGGGTGTCCGGGGCTGCCCGGTCGGGGGTGGACCCTTATGGGACATTTCCGGATTCGAGGGGTGATTGACATCATTATTTTGCCTCCCAATCTATACTCGGCGCCACAGTCTTGGGGAGAATTTGAATTTGGGGATGAGTGGGTTGGGATGATCATTGATGGTGGCCCCCTAGTCATTGGTGGGTGGGGAAGGGGCTTGTGTCGAGGGTGGCACAGCCTGTTATTAACTACAGTTATGCGCAGTAGAGTACAGACCATTACACACTTTACGCGTTCCCCCGTGACATGCGCGACCTACTGAACCTGGCCACCGGGAGTAACAGCCTGGCCCTGGGTACATGTACCTAGCACAGTGCAACGTTGACTGTCACAACGGCGACAGACGACGGACAAACACCACCACCACCACCACAAACGCGCCTTCCAGATCTTGATCATACCCAATCTTAACAAGATTTGCCTCCGTCCGCAGCAGCACTTACCCAGGATCGTTTCGCTTTCCCGACACCTAGGAAACATCCAGTATTACGATTATTAAAAAAAAAACCTTTATACCCCTGCCCTGCCTCGCTCATTCTCAGTAACCCACAATGCTTTACGTGGACAAACACAGACCACGGTCCCTCGAGGCTTTACACGTGAGTAGTTGACCTTGTAGGGCAGGAATGAATTGAGCCTCCGCACGGACATGGCTGCAATTAGAGATACCCAAGCTGACAGCACACTCGAAAACCTCAGTACCACGAAGGCCTCTCCACAAGGCTCAAAGCACTCGTAAAGCTCACTTCTCCCACCCCCCCCCCCCCCCCCAATAAGGCTCAATACCATACCACGATACTAACCCCCCACCCCCCCTTTCCCTAGGCACAATCCGGCGATTTCCCCCACCTCCTCATCTACGGGCCCTCCGGCGCCGGCAAGAAGACCCGCATCGTCGCAACGCTCAAGGAGCTCTACGGGCCCGGCGTCGAAAAGATCAAGATCGACAGTCGCATCTTCACGACCGGCAGCAACCGCAAGATCGAGTTCACCGTCGTCGCGTCCATCTACCACCTCGAGATCACGCCCAGCGACGTGGGCAACCACGACCGCGTCGTGGTGCAGTCCCTGCTCAAGGAGGTTGCGCAGACGCAGCAGGTGGACCTCGCGGCTAAGCAGCGCTTCAAGGTCGTGGTCATCAATGAGGCCGACTCCCTCAGCCGCGATGCCCAGGCCGCGCTTAGGAGGACCATGGAGAAGTATTCGCCGAACCTCAGGCTAATTCTAATTGCGAATTCCACGGCGGGGATTATTGCGCCGATTCGCAGCCGAACGCTGCTGGTGAGGGTTGCGGCGCCGAGTATAGACGAGATGGTGGAGGTCATGAAGCATGTGGCTGGTGTGGAGAAGCTGAAGTGGGAAGAGGCCCTGGCCGTGAGGATTGCGGAGGAGAGTGGTAGGAACCTTAGGAGGGCGCTGTTAATGTTTGAGGCGGTGTACGCTCAGAAGTAAACCCCCCCCCCCTCTCACCTCATTCTGGTTACTCCACCCAACTCCCCAAACCCCAAATTCCCGAAAGAGGAGGCGTATCCGCGCTAACACAGCACCGCAGCGAGGTTGTCACCGCCAAAACACCAATCCCACCGCCCGACTACGAGTCACTCATCCAGCAGATTGCCGACGAGCTTCTCGCCGACCACACACCGCAGCGCATCCTCGCCGTCCGCGCAAAGTTCTACGACCTCCTGACGCACTGCATCCCCGCCACCGTGATCCTCAAGCTGCTCACCTTCCGCCTCATCGCAAAGATTGACGATGCGCTCAAGGCCGAGGTCATCAAGTGGAGCGCCTTCTACGAGCACAGGATACACCTGGGCAGTAAGGTCATCTTCCACCTCGAGGCGTTTGTGGCAAAGTTTTTGAGGATATTGGAGAGTTACCTGATGGGTATGGAGTTTTAGTGGTGGCTGGTGCGGAAGAGGGAGGGGGTGGGAAGAGGAGGGTTAGGAGTGGTAATGATCTTTATGACCAAAAAAAGAGGGAGGCTAAAAGGGGTTTGGGCGTAGTAGATACATAATAATGTTATTACATACAGGGCCGTAGAATGCATTTCATTTTTTTTTCTTGCATCATAATACATTAAACATACATAGAGCCCATTGGTGATTGTCGTAGCTGGTTTTAGAGGATATGCAAGCTGGATCGGAATAAGGTTGAGTTGAAGAATGAGGGGGCGGAATCTTTGTTCTCCACGATTCAGAGCACCATTGTATGCGCCTAGCTCGGGGTTTGCAGTCATGATGTGCAGTTAGAGGTTTTCCCTTCCCGCCAGAATGAATAATCCGGAGACTTTTCAGGCAGGTTCTCGCACACAAGGCTGTGGAGGGGTCAGTGTACCATGGCCAGCTTAGAATAGGAAGGTATGTCGTCGTAATGGAAATACGACAGGTCACTTGGCAGGAGGAGGTTGGAGCAGTTGAGCAAGAATCAAAAGCACAGCCTTCTAAACCACGGAATGTCACTCGGCCTTGCTACATAAACTCGTATCTCATGGGCTGTGAAGAAATGCGACTCATCACATCTCACATATGACTCTCCGCACCAGCCAACCAGGGAAGACCGGGTAGCTGTGCACTAGCTAACTGCGCACTAAGTACCAATGATCATTCCGGGCCTGTACCGCCACTCCCACTCGCACCAGCCACGGGCTCGTCTAGCCACACACCGACGTGCAACCTCTCTCAAAACCTTGACCGACGACGGACGACATTCCCGCCTGAGCAGCAGCACACCCCACACAAGATGCAGTCACTCACCCGCTCGCTCGCCTCGCTGGCGCATAAACCTTCCTTCCCCCGCCTCGGTATTGCTACCCCTCAATTGCTCACGCTGTCGAAGATCACGCTGACCTGACCCCGCCTTGGCCGGATAGTAGCCCCCACCACCACCACCATCGCGGCCGCATTCGCAGGTGTCTCGCAGTGTCGCCCATTCTCTTCCTCACAGCCCGCACTTGACTGGCTGCGTAAGAAGCTCTCCCGCCCCCGCTCCGGGTCTCTACACACAACGAAAAGCACTAACCCCACCACCGGCGCACCACAGGCCCCAAAGGCGACCCCAAGCCAGCGCAGAAGGGGCGGCCCCGCGTACCCACGGGTGGTAGTGTTCGCGGAACAACAGTAGAATGGGGTGACTACGGGATGCGTCTGAAGGACCACCACCGGCGGCTGTCTGCCATGCATCTCAAGAACGCCGAGGAGGCCATTAAGAAGAAGCTGCGTGGAATGAAGTACAAGCTCTACATGCGCGTGGCGTGCAACATTCCCGTCTACACCAAGGGAAACGAAGTGCGTATGGGTACGGGAAAGGGAAGTCATGACTTTTGGGCCACGAGGGTGGCAGTCAGTAAGATTATCTTTGAGCTGAAGGGGGAGGTACACGAGCAGATTGTGAAGGAGGCGTTTAGGTTGGCGGGAGATAAGATGCCGGGTTTGTTGGGCTCCTTTCCTTACTGATTTTGAAGGTTTAATGGGTGCGGGTGCGGGGACCTAACTAATGTGTGTACTGTTTAGGGATCTATGAGTTTGTGAGGAAGGGCGACTATCCGGTCATGGGCCTGACAAAGATGACGCCCGAGGCGGTCGAGAAGATGAACGCAAAGAAGTTCAAGTTCTATAACGTCAAGCCCACTCCCGAGAACCCAATGCCCGAGATCCTGCCATAAAGAGGATATAAATTATAACTAACTTTGAAAAAGTGTATATTACTCTTTTTTTTTCTTTCTTTTTTTTTTTTGCTGTGAATATTCAAGACAAAAATGGGTTTTCCTTTCTCCGGTGACTTGAGGTTTTGTGTTTTTGGCTTTATTTTTGTGGTTTGAGTATATTTTATCACTGGACACCTAGCTTGGTTTTGTCATGATATAGAAGCCCACATTGCAATTGGCAGCCCGCAATGGGCGGCATCGGGCGGCATCGGGCCCGGCCCCGGGTCCGTTGACTGTAAATAATCAATTTTTTGGTTTTTGTGCCAAGCCTGTTGTAAAAATGCGGAAGAAGGCCCGCACCCCGCAACCAACAGAAAGCTCGGTAGCGATGTTTATGTTTCCAACTAGACCCTGCAGCAGTTTCAGGTAAGCGTTTACCTGATCGATCCATTGCAGCAACACTATCTGACGGCGGTTGCGGGGTGTTTGCGTAGATAGGATAAGCACAACGCCGACAAGGCGAGGATGATCCCTTTCCGGGATATGCGAAAGGAAGATCTGCTCTACGTAAAGTAGAAGAACAAAGGATCAATGCGGGTGCGCGCGGTTGCTGGAGTTGTTCTGGTCGACTTTCTGAGTATTATTAGGAGCCGTGCGTACTCGAGCCTGGGCATCCTAAACCGGCTGGGAGCCGTGTAAAGCAATATGCCAGGAAGTATTTAAATAGTGAAAGGGCTGCGACCTCACTATGTTATGTTATCCCTCCAACTATCGATGTCGACGTCCCCTCGTGTACGTGTATGTAGGTGCCAGAAGCCGCAGCAAACCTCGATAAGTTATTTGTCAAAGCTTGACTTAGATCAAGTATTCTATTAGAACTAGTCAGGGATATTATAATGTCTCGGCAGATCAAGGGATAGGTACGCAGAGACCCAACCACGCAGAACTTCCTTCCGAGTGATATCTCATGATACACGCCTGCTGTTTTTACACAGGTATTCGTGGTTTGTGGCCTCAAGTGGCCTTGGGTACTGGTAAGTTCCAAAATTCTACTATATTTAGGATATCAGCTGTCAGGAAAGCTCATTCTCCCCCATGATTAAGGGCCAGCGTCAGGTCTCTTAATATGTAGCAGTACGTCAGCAATCTCGCATTCTATGACAATGAAGAATGTTGATGATCAGCCTTACAGTCCGCAGTGTGGCTCACAAGGACAGGATACCTTGCGTCTCGCCTCGAGGAATACACCCCAACCATGTCGATCGATGTGCCTTGATACATGGTGCCCTCCTCGACCCGAGGAAGATCGAGAAAATTCGAGGCATACGTCTATTCCAGATATCTACGTATAGTCGAGGCAAAACCCCTTCGAGGCGGAGAAAACTCGGTGCATCCCACCCTTCCTGTATCGATATGTCTCGTAGACCACAATTCCTAAGGTGATGGTTATATCTCATGGTTCAACCACGTCTTTTCGAGGTTCGTCTTGGCTTTGTCCTATGAGCTCAAAATAGCTTGTCAGCAGGAGCGCACAGTGAAAATAGTAGCGTGGGTAGAGCAGGCGCTTGCACGCGTTGCGTGCTTGGGGTCTTCTATTTGATTCGCTAGGTGGATGGGGTTTCATTTTGGCCCTAGTACTTCTTATAGGTATGTTGAGAGATACGTTGCAAGATGATCAATAATAAGGCTACGTGACATCAAGTAAACGATAAGATGAGTTAGCAAAAAATAACAAAAAGAAGTAAACCGTAAGTTACGTGTTCTATCATCTATAGCTAAGTCTTTTATACACAGCTATTGCTCATTAAGTTCTGCGCTCTACGTATAGCGAGGATGTTAGTGCGATCCATGAGGCCGCTCGAGGAATCTTGGGGAACCTCATTCTCGTGGGGCCTCATCTTTGACGCAGGTAGGTAAGTGTGTTTTTTTGTCGGGGAAAGGGGTTTCTTCTAGCGGTATTATGTGCTCTTATTGTAGTGGTTCAAGTAGACTCGTAAAAAATCAAGGCCATGGGGATTTCAAATTAACACTACTTCGATACAGAAATAATAATAGAGGTAAAAGACTTATATGACCTTATAGGATATCAGGTAGGATGAAGTGGAGCACTCCGTATATACGCGTAGTCCTAATTCGCGGTATTATATTGTGCAGACTTCATCACCCTAAATTTTCATTGTTAAGCCATTAACATAATGGCCCTAATCCGCTCTAGCTATTTATCCATCTTGGTCTAGCCCGTTGGCTTTGGGATAATTGGAACTCATAGTTCCCACCCGTGTGTTGAGCTGTAGTGTTGGAAAGATTGGTGAAATTCTAGCGGGATTCGTCAGCATGCTGCCTAACTACGGTAGTGATCTAGATTTTTTATGGTATTTCTGACAGTATGTGGAGTTAATTTGATATTGTCACACAATGCCGTATCACTGACGGTGCGAATTACATCGCATTTTCTCGCATTGTACTAGTACTAGTACATGCTCCGGTGTCCTAAATGATATGATGCCGCTCTACTAATTAATTAAGGGCGCGTTTGGGAACGGCCTAAACGGAGTTTAAGAGGGGTAAAAACTCCGTTGAAACTGAAAATACAGTTAGGAGAAAGGTTGATGTGTTTGGCATGCCACTTTTCAGTGCAGTTTTGACGATTTTAACGGAGTTTTGAAAAGTAGGTCTGACTTCAAAATACATGCACTAAAACCACCAAACAGTGTCCATGTTTAGCAGACCAAAACTTCGTTTAAGAATTTCTCACTTTGTCGGTTGCTAACGGGATTGTTGCTTAACGCAATTTCTAAACTTTACTTCCTCCAAACGGGCCCTCGGTGTTGAGCATGCTACCCTCGCCAGGAGGAGACAATAAAGTGTGTTTTAATCATTGGCATAGGCTGGCTAGTTTACCCGCGGGTTGAACCACTAGCGCATAGTCTGGTGTCCCAAATGATTCCGCTTTTCTGGTTAGCTAACTGTTAAACACACTACCCTCACCAATAGTAGCGAATAAAGCGCATTATAATCACTAGCCTGAGCTTGCTATCCGCGTCGTGCTAACCACACTGAATTATATTAGAATTTTATCTATAAGCTCCCGATGTGATTATAATTACAGTATGTTTTGAGTATAATTACACCCAATATTAGATTTATACCCACAGACTCCCAATGTATGACAAAACAGAAATACAACTAATCACTACCCGACGGCCTTATTGGCCTCGAAGTAGAGCTACATGTACCTAGTGCTTGGCTTCTGATTCCGGGTGCGAGTGATGAGTTGTGATCCAGATTTAGAGAAACATCCGCTCATATACGGCCAATGATGGGCTGGGGTGTTAATTAGGTCCTCGACTGATTAGTAGATTACTTAATGTGACATTCGTTAGTCTCTCATAGGAGGTGATTTGTAGGTACGGAGAAATACTAGGAGAGTGATTCTGAACTGCGTATAGTAGAGAATATTTACTTAGAGAATTCGAAATTATTTTAACTAATGGACCACTGTCTTCTTTTGTTAACAATAATACCACTGATTTTACAACTACAATTTATCACATTGAAGCATCAGTAAAGAGCGCGAGACTTTTTTGATTCACTATTTTACAAAGCTCAGCTTACACCGCCCACCCTCTAGGTCCCACCTAAACACTCGAATTCTTCAGAGTATGCCCCTTCTCCTTCAGCACACTCTCCAAATACTTACTCCTCATCTTCACCAGCGGCTCCTCCTCCATCGGCGAGCCAAACTTAATCTTTCCCGCATGGACAACCTCATCCTCCACCTTATCCAACCCCGCCACACACCTCCTCACATAACTCGTGATCATCGCCAACAACTCCACATCCACGTCCGGATCCGCATCAAACACGTTCCTCCAGATCGCCGCCGCCAGCACCGCATCCCCCTTCACCAGCCCCTCATCATACCCCGCAATCATGCCGCGGTACTGCGCATACAGGTCCTTGAGGTACTTCTTCCTCTGCCCGCCCGACGTCAGCTTGTAGTCCTGTATCATCTTGCCCTCGCTGTCGTAGAAGAAGTGGTCCACAAAGTGCTGCTGCCACGTCTGCACGTTCTCGGGCTCGAACGCGCGGAAGCGCACGACCAGCATCCACATGTGCAGCACCGTGACCTGCGCCCAGGCCACGAACGTCGGCTTGCGCTTGCAGGTCTCGTACCAGAAGCGGGCGCTGGGGGAGAGCTCGGCACCCTCGAGGTAGGCGGCTTGCGCGACGCACTCGTTGTAGAGTTCTTGCGTGACGCCGTAGGCGACGTAGGTTTCGGTGGTGCTGGGCATGAGCGAGCGGACGGACTCGGTCAGGCGGCTGACGAGGCCGGTGGTGTCAGGTGGGGGGGGCTTGACGGCTTGCGGGTCTTCGGCGGTGTTCAGTTGTTTGGAGGGGATGGCGGGGGCGGTGGTGGTAGTGGTGGCGTGGCGGAGGGTGAGAGCGAGTGGGAGGGGGGTGCGGAGGGTGAGAGGGGTGGGCTTGGTGAGTGCTCGGGGGGCCTGGGAGATGTTAGTATGCTAGCATTGAGGAGGGGGATTGGGATTGGGATTGGGATTGGGATTGTGGTGAAGACATACCGACCGGGCGAGCATTCTCAGGCAGTTCTGGGAGGCCATTGTAGTTTTTTTTATTTACCGTATTAGATGCAATGTATTAGGGTATGTGATAGCCAGACAGGACAGTCAAGATGAACGATATCAGAGTCGATATCCAGCTTCTCACTCGTCGTTCGTTCGTTGTCCAGAGATATGAAAGCTAGCGACGATAGATTTGACCTCTCTCTATGCTGCCAACTACGCCCACCCGCACCGATGTCATCCCCCACCGCCCACACTTCTTCTCCCTACACACCCAGCCAGCCAGCCAACCGGTGACTTCACCGCTCGCTTCTTTCTCCATGGCAACAACAAACGAAACTAACTAAACTCAAACCAAGCGACAGAAGCGAACAAATGATGAAGTAACCAGCACGCCCGCCCGATCGGGGGGTGTGCTCTCCCAATCATTGGCCCTCTCTCCTCTCCTCTTCTCTGGCAATGATATCTCCAGCATGTAAAAAATTTCACTGGCTGAGTGGCCGGGGTTTCCTTTTCGCCGATTGTGTGCGGAAAATAGATTTTCCGAGACAGATCACGTGACTGAGGCTCTTCATGCAAGGGCTCTCTTCCCATCCCCCCCATCGTGCACGGACACTCTCGGAGCTCTATCAATCAAACTCTTTGGCCAAACTCGGCTTTTTTGGGATGTCAAAGCCGGGTGCTATTTCAACAACAATAAAGCACTGAAAGACAGAGAGAAGGAAACACCAGCAAGAAAAGAAAAAATAGAAACCCCCGAGAGAAAAAAAGAAGAAAAAATAAAAAAACCAAACGCCTCGCCAATTCATAATTCACCTAGCCAGCTAGCTAGCTAGCTAGTAGAAAGCTAGGAACCCATAATTTATCCTACCCGCTCCCAGAAACAGCAGCGCCGACAACTGCCTTCTCCCTGAGCGTCTCCACCACAGGCGTCAACTCGCACACATACTGCGGGTCCCTCATCAATCCCGGTATCTCATCCGGCGAACGCCCATACATTTTCTACCACCAGCAACCCATCAGCACCGCTCACTACTCCCCACACAACCACCAGCACTAGCACCAGCACCGCCACCACCAACACCCCACCGAGAGAGAGAGAGGGAAAACTCACATTCCGAACATTGGCATACGTCTCCTCCCTCGCCTGATACTCCCTCAACACCTCCCCCGTCGCAAACTCCACAAACACCCTCGTATCGCGCACGCGCACCAGCACGCCATCGAGCCTAAGGTAGAATCTTGACAGCACAAACAGGCGCTCGGGGTGCACGCGGATCTTGACGCTCAGGATCGCAATGCCATTATCCGCCAGCTCGTCCTCGTAGAGCACAATCTCGTCAAAAAGCAGGATCGGGTCCGGCCGCTTGAGCCGGTCAAACGGTATCGTCTCCTCTGTCGGCGTAAACTGCGGGGTTGCCGTCTCCTACACACACACACGCACGGCGTTAGCTCCCCTCTCTTCCTCCCGCACCTGGCTAGCTAGCTAGCTGTGGTCCGAGGTCCGAGGTTTGAGGTTTGAGGTTTAACGTACCGGCACGCTCCCCCTGTAGGCAGTGGTATACGTCCAGTCGAACGGCTTCACCACCTCCCTAATATCCTCATGCACGCGCTCCCTCATCTTTGTCCAGCTCTCGCTGTAGGCCACCTTCAGCATGCTCTCGCCCGTCTTATCGACGCCGCTGAGGGCGTCGAGCGCATTGAAGGTGACGCCCCATCCACTGGCGTCGTGCTGGATGGACACGCCGTTGTTGCCAAAGATCATCTCGGGCGGGGCGATGCCGAGCGTCTGCGTCATGGCATCGATCTCGCCGGACTTGAGGATGGGCAGCTTGTGTGTTGTGATGGTCCAGCCGGCGATGGTGGTGGTCTTGCCTTGGTCGGCGGCGGTGGAGGAGGGGGTGTAGTGCGCCATGGTTGTTCGTTGGTGGTGAGGGGGTTAGTGGGTGGTGAGTGAGTGAATGGTGGGGTTGATGGTGAGGATGGTGATGGTGGTGGGGGGAGGAGGAGGCTCTATGAGGGGTTGCAGGCAGACAGGATAACTGAACGGGCAAGAACTAACTAACCCTGTTCCTTTCAGGCACCAGACGCGCAAAGGTGACAACGCGACCCTAAAGTGGTTTAACTTACGGAATAACGAGGTGAATGAGTTGAGTTCCCCGCGGAATTTGATTTCACAGAAAGAGCTGACATGCATGGAAACCTCAACCCAGAGAGAGAGAGAGAGAGGGGTTGAGGGAATTTGTTTATGTTGTACGTACAGGCAAGCATTAGTGCGTAATATTAGCAGTGCTCTAACCAATCGTCATGACACCACCCAGCAAAGTTAAGTAACTGAGAAAGAGAGAGAGAAAAGACAAGCTACCAACTCCAAGTCCCCCGCCCGCCCGCCCTAGAATACCTAGAAGGAGAGGAATGGCGGCGGGAAACTCCTGTCTAGGCCCTTGCCTCCCTAACTATTAATGAGAGAGGCCAAAGAAGATGAAGAATTAAAAAGAACCGATGGTTTAAGAAAAGTAAGTAGAAAAAAGTTATAATACAGTTACAGAAAGAAAGAAAAAGGTCGGAAAATCCATAAGGATTAAGATGCACCACAGGTCAGGCCAGAGTGGGTATAATAAGAAGCAGCTAGCTACACAGTAGCCCGCCAGCTAAAATACACCCTCTCCACAAAACCTGTGCACACGAGACGAACTATTTTATAAGTATACAATCCCACCCCCAGGTGCAGGAAGAAGAAGCCGTGGGGAAGAAAAAAGGGGGGGCGGAAAGCAAAGTCGGCCCTAGACAAGAACGATATAGCAAAAAAGCAAAGAAGAGGAATTTAAAAAAAGAAAAACCGGACCCCAACACCGATCAAGACATTAAACACGCCATCCAGAAAAAAACTAGACTACCTGATAACTGCATCTTCCAATTTGCTTCGTTTTCCGCCTCGTCTCTTCAATGCATCGAATACACCATCGATATCTTCCATCTCATCTTCGACTTGTTTTCTCTTTCTGCTGCCGGATTCAGCTGGAGCAGGGTTGTATGCACCCCTTCTCTTAGCCCTTACGGCCTCTGCTGCTGCAGTCTCCTCTTCCATCTTCCGTAGCTCCTTTCTGTGTTCAGAAGCTGTTACGTAGCGTTGTATGAGCCGGTGGTCATCGATTTGCTCCTATGATATGTTAGCAGCCCGTCAAAGGATCATGTGAGGCGAAAGAATATTACCTCGGAGTCGTTCTTCCGCTTTACAGTTTTTGGCCACACCAAGCCGTAGATTTTACTGTGTCTTTCACAGCGTTTGCATGCTCTCGGCACATACCATTTATCGTCGTGTACGAAAGCTTTCTTGCAGTCGCTACATACACACTTGGTGCCTTCAGTGTTGAGATGCCAAGACAGATAATCCCCAGGGACGCGGTTGAGCGGTGGTTCTATGACTGCCGGCGGGATCGCAGGGAGCGAAGTACGCCGAGGTGCTGGAAGTGAAGAACGCCGGGGTTTCGGTGTGCTAGTCGGCGGCCTGGGCTTCTTAGCCTTTTTTGCAGATTTGGACCTTATCAATTTCGTCTTTTTCCGTGGCTTTTTGGTAGTGGAATGCGGAATTGGCATTGTGAGAATCGAATCGTCGATTTCAGAATCAGCAATATCGGTGAATTCCGACAACTCCGAGTCTGATTCATAGATTGTAGGCTGCGTCTGGGGTGCCACGGTCATCGCAGAAAGTGGAGCTGAGAGTCCAAAGCTGAGAGTAAAACCCGGCGAGACTGATTTGACTGTGACAGACTCGTGAATCTCGTCATCGGGAATGGTGGAATCCATCGATCCTTCCCTTTCAGTCTCGGTCCTTTCGAATCCGGTCATATACTCCTCGTCTTTGATATGGATATCTCCATCCAAGTCCTTTGTTGCATCTCCATCCACCACTCCCGGTAAGGCTAGTAACGATTCCGCAACTTTCTCAGCTACTTCAACTTCCGCCTCAAGTTCCTTTGCCACCTCTATCTCAGCCGGCGTAGCAGTTTCCGTTTTTGGCGGTGTAGCAGGACCCTCCTCGGGCCCAGGACTGTGACTGTCACCCGGCGTCCCCAACTCCTCTGCTACACTCGGTGCCTCGCTCGCAGACACAGATGTCCCACGGTCACTATCCGGTGGGCTCAATACACCTCCTTTACTCTTCCTTCTCCTCCTGTCCGGAACTTCCAGGCTCGTCATAGACGCCCGCTGCTTCTTCGAAGATTGTCGAGTCACAATTGCACCGGGCACCAAGCTGTCGATATCGATCTCCTCCTCCTCTTCGCCACCGGATTGCGAGCCCGAGGCCCACCCATTCCTCATCTGCACTTCACATGTCCTGCACAAGCACTCCCTGTTCCCAACACCAAAATAATCATCTGCGTAGTTTACCGTAATCTCCTCGCCCAGCTCGATATCCCGCTCAACAATCAGTGTGACATTTTCCTTATTTGTTGTGACAAATTTCGCGTTCGGCTCACAGTCGTGATTTACAAAACGGGCCGGTCCTAGAAGAAGTGACATGCCTCCTACTCGGGAAGAATATATGATGCTGAAGTCGGCTTGCGAACCCGCAAATTCATCCTCCTCGCTGGGGGTCATGGGGACCATAGCACCCGTGAGATATTTTATAGTGTCGCCACGGTGGAAGATACGTCGAGCGATGATGCAGGCTTCCGGGGCAAGTGGGTTGTAACGATTTGTAGAGCCAACCTCAAAAGGCGAGTCGGAGGCATACATGGAGAGGTATCTGCGGGCATGTCTATATAGTAATATCTTTGTCAATTGAACTGTCGAAGTAGTCCCCAATATGGGGGCAGAGATATGGTAGAAGCGTACTTCATGAAATCGGCCTCAGCATTCGGATTCTTATAGAGCACTTTATTCAGGAACTGTTTCACTCCGTTAAGCCTATTCCACGATTCCTCCCTGTCAGTCCTGTCAGTCTTCCCGGCCAAGATGCGACTCACTCCATAAGCTTGTTCAACGCCCCCGATGTATTCTTATTCCGCACGACCTCGCACACGATAATATTAACCACGTCATCCGTCTTTATACCCCGATTCGGGTGGTAGCTATGCTTCATTTTACGGATCTTTGTCCAGTAGTAGACCTGTAAAATGGGAGGAGTATCATGTCAACAAACCTGGATTACCCCCCAAGCGCAAAAGGTGAGAATGAAAGAAAATATATGTACTTACGCGATCAACAAGCGCATCTGTCAATAAATCGTCAAACTCAGCGAGCTGGCTGAGAGTTAACTGGTACTTTGCAGGGCGCGCCATTTGAGCAGACGGCGCTCTTTGACAGGAGGGGTATGAAGTTAGTGTATATGCGTGTATGTACGTCTGTATGATGTATGTATGTATGTGAATATGTTTATTTGGTATGTATACGGTGTGTATGTATATGGTGTGTGAGTCGGAATGAAAAATAAGAAAGAGTGGTCGTAAGTGAGAGAGGGTGGGATTCAGGAGTAAAGGGAAAGGGAGATATAATACAGGAACAGGTTTGGCCAGTTGGTGGAAGGGATGTAAGGAAGGAGGGAAGGAAGAGGGATGGATACAGTATGTATGGACGGATGGAGAGTCAGGACCGCACGCCGCTATGCATGTATCGTATTTACCTCCTCTCACTCCCTTCACTTAATCACTCGCTAGCTCGCTTCACTTTCTCACAACCTCACGATCTCACGATCTCAGCCCTTCGGTCTCACTAGTTCTCACTCCCACCTGGCTTACTCCGCTAAAGGGAGCGCAAGAAGTAAAGGCGAGATAGAGGTCCTGGACAGACAGATAGAGATCAAAAGTTAAAAGACGAGAGACACGCGCCGACAAAACCAAAGCCAAACCACGCACCACCTCAAGCCAAGTAAAGCAACGCGGTGGAATACCGGAAGAACAAAATATAAATGCATGCATGACAGGGGCCCCACGGATGGAATGAATGGGGAACGGTAATCGAGATCTGCAGATTGGACAAGAGGAGCAGGAAGTGAGCAAACAAGGCTTCAGGAAGGATCTGGATTCTGGATGGCGCAAAGAAAAGAAAGGAAAGAGGAAATATCCAATCTATCACGAAAAAAAGCCAGATGCTCTCTCTTACTCGGTTGGAATCCGTGCCTGCCAGGATGCACGATGGTTGCTACGCCCTTGATCTACATGACGACTTTCTCCCCCACCACTACCTCCACACAGTAACCATCACCTCAATCATAGCCAGTGAACAACCACTGCATCGCAGGAAAGCAAGGCGGCTATGGTGTGGTACAAAGCCCATTTGTGGCTGTCGAAATGGAATCGAATGATTATCTGTCCATGTGTTTTATTTGCCGCAACTTGTTCATTTATCCTGGATAACTACTCGACAGTCCGGTGATCGAAATTCTCTTTGTGTGTTTCGAGAGTGCCCCGCGCTTTTCCCTGAACCTTATGGATCTACCCTATGTCTTGTGTCGCGCTCATCTCTCATAACTGTGTTGGTCACGAGAGTCTTTATAGACGACTCCTTAGCCGCGGATGCCATCTTAATACCGACTGTTGCCCCCTGCGGCTCTTGCCGGTGGCGTCCTCACGGTCCAATTCATCATTTCCGGGTCCAGTTGCAGCAGACCCTAAGATTCTAGCAACCGTGATGCTCGAAGGTGTGTGGGCAATGGAGGGAAAGGGCTCAATAGTTGTGGATTATATTGAGGGGTTTAAAGGAGGGTTTCGGCAGTAGGTACGCGTACTCTATGGATCCCCGTAGAAATGAAAACACCGCAATATATCATATATATGCAGTGCGCTCACCCGCAAACTCTGTATGCATCACTGCGATTACATTCGCTTCTAGAGGGTCGGCGAGAACCTCAGTGTATTCCGCGGTCGACATGTACGCGGCGATCTCAGCCCTGAGACACCCGAAGTCTCGTCCATCGCTAGCTCCACAAAGCACAAAACCACCCCATAAGTGTTACCACCCTCAATTTTAGTGAAAGTAAGCCTTCCCTATCGTTTTCTACTCGATAGAAAACAAAATCGAAATTTCCTGTTTCACGAGTGACAGACCATGACGCGAGTGCTACCTCATGATTCTGACCCTGAAAGGGCATAGTCCGTTGGTATACAAAAGGACCACTGGGATCTAAGTCAGAGTTGTTACATCCGTAGCGGTGCATGGAAGAGAGTGTGAAATGAGATAGATATGGATTAATGTCTCTAACCTGGTCTGGTTCTTGAACTTCAAAGCTCTGAAAATTTGAAATGTTAGAACGAAAACTCTTTAATATAGTCATATAGTCGACACCCAATTAGGATATTGTGGTACATGAAGTAATGAAGAACATAAAATACTTGCAGAGTTAAGGCAATCACTATCGCAGTAGAGGATATGGTTATTAAAAGAATAGGAACCTACAGTTGATATGTAGGTATCATTGGAACCGTCATTCCTCTATTTGTCCCAGAAACTTCCATCGGCCCGGTGCTCTTAGTAGATGTACTGCATCATAAATAGCAGGATTATTAGCACATAAGGTTGTGACATCTTGCTATCTTCCAACCACTTGCTCGTTTAGCCCGCTGATATCCCCTTGCACGTGACCTTGTGGTTAACATCGTCCACAGCACTCTAACCGCATCCGGTAACGTCATACAGAAACTTTGAATCTCCTCCATCATCTCGCAAAGTTCCGCCCGAACCTCGCTCCAACGAAATCCTCAAGAAGATGTTCGCAACCAGGCCCTTGGGCATGATCCAATTGAAGGCACGTGTTTCCCCCTTCCCAAGTCGAGCACCAGATCTGACCTACCTTCTCTTCACAGTCGATGCTCACATGCATCGACAATTCCGGCGCCGCACTCGTCGAATGCGCACAAGTACTGAAGCGGAAGAAGCCTGCTGGCATTGGTATCTCTCTCTTCGCACAACACATTCTGCTACGTTACCTAACACCGCCCAGGTGACAAGATTGTCGTGGTTATCCAGAAACAGCGGTCCCTCGGGCACGACTTGTCTGCAGCTGCACAGGCGGCTGTCAAGGTTAGGCGTGGAGATGTGTGCCATGCGGTTGTTGTGAGGACAAAGAAGAAGTACAGGAGACCGGACGGGAGCTACATTCGATTTGACGATAATGCGTGTGTGTTGGTCAACAAGAGCGGGGATCCTTTGGGAACAAGGCTGAACAGTGGGCTCATCCTTTTCTTTCTGTTCTAAGTCGGAGAGAGTGAGAGCTTGAGTGGGGGCTAACTAACCACGTGCGCATAGGTGTCGTTGGAGAGGAGCTTAGGCGTAAGAAGTGGTCAAAGATCTTGTCTTTGGCTCCAATGAACGTATAGGTTATTTTTCTACTATTCTCACACCACCATTGTACAGCATTCAACTCAGCAAAATGAATTTATTTGCATATCCGACCAATTTGCATTGCAATCTATTATAAAGTCTGTTCTTGTCACCTTATCAGAAGTTTTCCATACGCCACCCTTGTATTAAATCATAAATCATCAAAGTCCCAATAAAGTCCAATAAAGGAAGCAACAACCCAAATGTCCTACCCGCCCATTCCTTTGCCCAGCCATACTATGTGCAAGTACTCATCCCACCGATGAAATATAATAAAAATAATAAAAATAATAAAAATAAAAAGGCCTATTTCCCGTAGTTCTCGTGAATCTGTCCACAAGTGCAGCACACGTGGAACAACCTCTATACGTCATCATTAGCATACTATTTCCACTACCCCATAGAATATCATCAAAAACGTACCATCTTCGTGTCCTCTGTTCTCTGCTGACTCTGGAAGAATACTGCCTCGGTCTCGTTGCAGTAAGGGCAGGGCTTGCTCGCTCTCGGCAATGTTGGGTCACTTCCGACATCCGTAGTGACACCGGCAGTCTCACCAGCTGATCCTCCGAGAACGTTACGGAAGACACAGTAGTTAGACGCGGCCTCAGTTGCCTGGCAGGTACGGCAACGGTAAAGGAGTGTGTTATTTAGACGGTCCTCGTGCGGGTAGAGCATGTTGCTACTATAGGGGAGTCAATAAGGAGCTCCTAGGAATGCTTGTGAGGAAGATGTATGTACCATTCGCGACAGAAACGGAAGGCGACCTTCTCATGACGCGCTTTGCGAGTCTCAGGAGCAGGAGTTCCAGTTTCAGACATGCCTATTTGGATTTATAGAAGAATGAAATTGGTTGTGAAGTTTAGAAACGAGTGATTCGGGTTGTATATAATGGTTGGTCGAGAAACGAAGGTGCACGAGTGAGAGTTCACGGCTTGAGATGGAGTGGTAGAAGATGGGAGATCGATGAGGAAGATCAATGACCACAGACTCGGAAGCTTAAGCCTCACTCATCCATTCAATGTGGCTTGGCGAACCACAACCCACAATGTGGCTTAGTCACCCGGCATTAGCCTCACCACGAAAAGTTTCAACAGCGTCTTCACGATACGTTCAACTCTCTCCGACCCACGTCAATTCCACTATCCTACACACACCCTGGTCCGTCTCCTGCGCAAAAGGAAACATCATCATACACAATGGCTCTCGCATCCAGGTGCTGTGCACGTCTCGCCCGTTCCGCCGTCGCTTCCCCATCTCTCAGACTCGCACCTTTTGCTGCGGCACCTCGGCGATGGAACTCTACCGCCCCTGCTGATCCCAAGCTCTCTGGCATTGTCGATCAGATTTCCGGTCTGACACTGTTGGAGACCGCTGACCTGGTTTCCTTGTTGAAGGTGCGCACTTTCGCTGTCAATTGAGGCCTACGAGGCCCTTTTCGATATCCCCCCACATCATATATATGCCCCACCTTTCACCCCGCCAAGGTTGTTTCGAATTGTTGCTGTTATTGACACAACTTCCGCCACTACAGACTCGCCTCAACATCCCCGACGTTGCGCTTCAGTCTTTCGCACCAGCGGCTGGTGGTGCGGCTGCTCCTGCTGCCGCCGCGCCAGAGGAGGCCGCTGAGGAGCCGGTCCAGGAGAAGACCATGTTCAACCTGAAGCTCCAGTCATTCGACGCCGCAGCGAAACCCAAGATCATTAAGGAGGTTAAGTCTCTCCTCGGCCTGTCACTTGTCGAGTCGAAGAAGTTTGTCGAGTCCGTGCCAAAGATGCTGAAGGAGGGACTTGTCAAGGAGGAGGCCGAGAAGATAGCGAAGACATTGAAGGATCTTGGTGCTGTTGCGGTTTTGGAGTAAGGGAGCGAAAAGATGTTTATTGACAGGATTTGGGTGTAAATATACATTTAGAAAGAGCAAACCCCGTGATCAAAAGTCGGGCATACCGTTCTTGGGCCCAATTGTACAAAGTCTTTTCCCCAAGGTTTTTTTTAATGCTCGGTATTCGTTCCGCCCCTTAAGTTCGAATCCTACTGTACAGGTAGCTATAGAATATAGAAGATATGAAGAAGTAAGAGATGTAAAGTTACAAACTACCCTAGCCTAGAACGCCACACAAACCAAAGGTCCCTCAGTACATGTAGCTACATGTAAGATATAGTAATAGCAGTTGGGAACATAAGAAAAACCCAAAATAACAAACAATACATCATCATTATCGAATGCCCTTAGGATATCCTCAAGACACCACATGGCGTATTCTCTCCTCAATGAATGGCGGGTTGCAAGTCTTAGTTTGTCTAGGCGATTGAAGAAGCCAATGTCTGGTTCTCTTCGCGCATGATCTCGTAGTCGTCTGAATTCAGATCGCTTGTTTGGTCCCACGCCTTTTCGAATTCTGGGTTGTGGCCTTCCCACTCCGGGTATCCCACCGCCCAGATGTTTTCGCGCAGACGTTTGTGCTGCACAATGTCAGTCAGTGGTCAGCGATAACCCACAAACTTCCACCTGGAAGAAAGACTTACACGCTCTCTGTCTTCTTCCATTCGCTGCTGGATGATCGCATCGTCGAATTTCCTCTTCGTGGCCGGACCCCTGCCCTCACCGCCAGGTTCCTCGTCGTCGTCATCGTAGATACTTCCGGCCGGAGATGCAATCGCAGCCCTATCGTTTCTCAACGGCTTAGCCAATTCCCAGACATGAAGACATAAGGAAACAAGCAAGAGACATACTTATGCTCAGCCTCCCTTTCCGACAACATCTCACCCACTTCCTGCATCATACTATTCTCCACAACTCCCTTATCCCCTAGGCTCTGAAGAATCTACCAACTCTGTCAATATACCTCCTTGCGCGATTCCCGTAGTGAAATAACAAACCTTCCTAACAGTTCCCACATTTGCGGCGCCCTCTGGATCGTTTGGAACAACGGTATCGACAATCTGTATGAGATCTCTCTGGATCATCTTCACGTAGCCCCGGTACTCCGTCTTCATGCTCATATCACAAAGAACCTCAATGAAGTAGAGCATGTTGACGCGGGTGTTCATAGTACACTCCTCCTAGCTTCCAATTAACTCTAACTACTCTCATAGTTAATGAAAATTGGGTGGAAAATAACATACAGATTGAAGTTGCTCTAGAATAACACTGAATAGGTCCTCGTCGAGCTCTCGGTTTCTCAGCGCGAATTGCGCACATTGTTTCGACGCGCCGGCAGAAGCATTAAGGCGCGAAAGGAGGCGTGTAAACTGAAGACGGCAGTTGAAAGGATCATCGGTGGACGCCATGGTAAAATCAAAGCTACCACCGGTTGTTTCGTTGTAGAGCTGTTGGCTCTCAGGTTGTCCGTGATGTTTAGGATCTTCGGACATGTTGCGCTAAGGGTTAGGGTATATGAGCTTATCTGATAAGGGCTATTGAATACTGTCTAGGGTGTCGTAATCCGGTTTGATGACTTTTGTGGAGCTTTGTGGTTATACGGGGTTGAGACTTCTTTTTGGACCTCACAGTTAGGCTGGGTGGGAGGCTATTAGGGTACGGGCTAGCTGGTGTCAAGCACCGCATTCCGTGGCCTTGCCATACAATGGGATGTAGGATCTAAACGTTACATACATGTCTTCCTCTTTCCGTAACATTCTTGAGTGTTTTGAAAGAGCTGAAACTCTGCATTACGGGCGGTATAGAGATCTAGTATGAGCAAGAGTATACCAAATAATTCCGTCGTATCTAGATGTGCCCAGCTATATGAATATTTCAACTAGACTATATCTCTATATCTGACACTTTCGCATCACCTCGTGTGGTTCAGATGTGTGTAGATTCATGCGTGTTCTAGGTCAGTTAGATTTGGTCAATGATGGCGGCTACATCATTAGGATTTGGCTACTAACGTCGGGGGTGACTATAGAACAAAACTGCATTGTCCATAAAGGAGTAGATTTAGCTTTGCATATCTTTGTGGAATAAGACCTGGGGGATTTGTAGGTTTGGTCGGAGAATCTTTACATTTATATGCACCGCTTGCATGTCACTTTCAATCAAACGGCTTCCATTTGTTAGGGTAGCACAAGACGATGACGAAGTACCTTTATTAAGGGTACTTTATTTCGAGCTTTAGGTCTCGTTATTTTCCAACTAGGGTTTCTCTTGTATTCCGGCCTAATTTCTGAATAGCAACATACAGTTCTATCCACTTTTCGGGGGAGAGTACACTTCCTACGCCATTCATGAACGGCTTAGATTAGAGTGGATGTTGAGCGAGTGATATTCTATGAACTGAATTAAAAGGTGTGTGCCAGGTCATTGCTTCCAGCCAAGCCAATTAGCTTGCATTTAGCCTTTGAAACAATTGCATGGTCTGTTACATAACCTATTACGGATACACGTAATGATGTATATAGTGATATATATTCCTGAGGATTACGTGGGTCCGGCGACCAAAATCTTACATACTTACATGTACTCCAAATCTTACTAGAACTACATGTAACTGCATGTACTCTTGGGGGGAGGTGTCAACATCGAAATAGCACTCCTACAACCAAGACAAAAATCAGAGATACTGATATTCCTTAACTACTCTCACCATTAGCAGAAAACCGGTGTAAACTACTTTTAATTCTATTTTTCTAGAATCACCTAACCAATCCAGATATCTACGAAGTTGAAGATTTGGCTGGTCATAGAGGTAGTGCTGAAGACAGATTCTTTTTGGGCATACTAGCTGGTCACAATTGGACATGAACGATGTGGTACTGGGTTTAAAGATAGATTTGAAGATGGAATGAAGAGTATCTCTCATGGATTTGGTATAGTTACATGTGCTTGGTGGGCTAGCATATGAGGAGCAGTCGATATACTATTTTATGAAATTTTCATAGTTTGCCAGGTTGATGATTTTGAGAGTTCTAAGGAGTGGCATAGATAAAAGTGTATGTAATCATAGGCCCCACCTCACCGTATTGGGTACTTGATTGTTGTACGAAACCAAATATTCAAGTGCACGTAGCAGACCAAAAAACAACTAGAAGTATACAGATCTAAATGTATTAGGCAATGGCCTTGAGCTGCTAGTTACTGGAAACAGGGAGTATAAACTAGAAGGTGCTTTATGTTCGAGATGCTTGCTCATTGTCTCCGGGATATGTGCACAAGGAGGGACGTCTTCAAAAGTTGGTTCCTTTTTGGAGTGGCACCCATTATTTTCAGATTCAGCTGACTATTGCTCCTTAAATTTGTACGTACATACATATTTGCTATAGGTCTGTCCCAATCGTTTTTGGTACAAATATGTAGCCATTTTTGGGTTAATCTCAGTGTTCGTGAAAGTGTGGCTAATAACATCATCGCCAGGACAAGAAAGAAGAAGATAAAAGAAATATGTACTCCCTTCTCGAAAAGAAAAAAGAAAATCCATCCATCCCGAAACAAACAAGCAAAACTTTTTGGCTGTACATGAATACAGGCATCGCAGTTTTTTAAACGTCTTCATCACTTACGCTCTCATCCTCATCACCACTGACTTCCTGGTTCTCCCTCTCCTTCTTGTCCATCAGAGCCTGCAACTCAGCGTCATCGTTCTCGGTGACCGCCTTTGGTGCCATTCGCACAACGCAACTTCCACCGGCCGCAGTAATGCTCTTCTCGATTTCGACGATAGCCTCTTCAAGGACCTGGATTCCGGTATTCTTGTCCAAGCATTGCGAGGTCAAAACGTATAGCGGGGGGGAGACCAATTTGACCTTTACTGGAGTCTCGGGTGTGTTCTTGGCCTCCGCTTTTCGGAGGGCCTCCTTGACGGCGTCGATTCCCTCATATCCAAAGCATGTAACCTCAACATCGGCACGGACCTTGGTTGGCTGGGGTGTAAGACGCTTTGAAATGTAGGTGGTAAGCTCAGCGCGGACAGCGTCAGATGGGAATTCAATGCCTTCCCAGACATCAGGGTTGCTATTATAGTTATGTTAGAAGAATTTCGAAAAATGTGTTAACAAAGGGTTCTCACGTAATGGAGAACTTGAAGGCATCAACAGCGTGTCCGTATTTTTTCATCAATGGCCAGCCGATGCTCTCATAGAGCTGTTCGATAGGCTCCTTGGTCTTTTCGGCGACATGTCGCAGAATGGAGTGAACCATCTTTGACTTGTTGAATCGCTCTTCGCACTTGACGACATCCTCCGCAGAGACACGACGCTTGGAAAGATCGATGTAACCTGCATTATCATCTCATGTGTCAGTGATCCCTTGCCACCTTTAGATTCAAAGGAAATTTTTTGATAGCATACCCTTCTCTTTGTCAACACGCAAGACAACAACGACTTCGTTCCGGCCGACACGGATAAGCTTCTGAATGGACCTGATACGTCTTCGAGAAAGCTCGCTGAGAAGAATCATTCCATCGATGTTGTCGTACTCAAGGAGCTTGACATAGGCACCCATCTCGGCGATCTATGGCACATGAGCCCTCTAGACTATTTAAGAGACACCACCCAGTGAGAATAGAATCATACCTGTTTTACGTTGACCATAACATAGCTATCCACTTCTGGATACTTCTCGGGGTAGTAGCGCGAGTTTGTGAGCGACATGATTTTTGGGTGAGAAAAGCGGATATGCGGCTTTGGTTTCTGGTTTCTGGTTTTCGTGGGATGATAACCACAGTATTTGCGACACAAATAGTCGGAGATGGTTGAGTTTAATGCAGTACTTGTTGAGGGCTAAACGTGATGTTTTGATGTTGGTTTGGGAGGGGCTCGGTGGGGGGGTGGGGTGTGGTTGTTGTTAAGAGGGAGTCATCCCACCATTGAATTTTCTTTTTGGAGAGCCTCACTGTCATTCTAGCGTTAAACACAAACAGCTGAAAATAATGGAATACGTCACCGAAGGCTGGAATTGCACTTGTTTAGAGCGTTTTATTTCTGCCGCCTGTAGTTTGATGGCGAAGCCGGGAAGCAAAGTGTCGCGATACATATATTCAGCGCATGCGCGCAGTGTATGTAGTGTGAAATAAGACACAGTATCGTACCTACATGCACACACATGTGGGTTTACTATTTATCGACACATTACTTGAATTAGACATTGTTCCCGCAGCGTAAATCTCACGTACTTCCCCCCAAGGAATGACAGACACTGCAGCCGATATTGATGGCACTGTACATATAGTAGGTATTACATGCAGGCCTGTCGCTCATATATGTGCGGTAATGATTGATACTATTAGGGACCCTAGGCCCTGATCCTTCTGTTAAACCTCGAAGCCTAGCCTCCGCCGTTTACTCAAAATGAGACCGTACAAGAAAGAAAAGAAAAGAAAAGAAACCACTTGCGCTACAATTGAAACTGTTTATACTAACCTAACGCTTTGCCAATCTCCTAACCTTAATTTCTATATCCCCAATCTGTGGTTAATAAAGTAGCTCTCAGCTTCAGAGTAACTGAACATACCAAGCTCTCCCGTCCATTCCTCAAGTTCTTTCACAACAGCTTCCAAATCGCCGACTCTCTCATCAAGCACATCGACCTGGTTCTTATACTTTTCGATATCCGCGTCTGTAGGCGCCTCTCATCAGATGCCCCTTCTTCCCTGTGAGCAGGATTAATTACATTTTTGGGTCAAATACTCGCTATCAGTCTGCAGCCCTTCAGCCGCATTTGCCATAGCCTGGTACCGCTCCTTTGCGTGGAGATTGATACGGTTCAGGAGGTCCAGATCTCCTATGGTTGCTTCTGTATCTGCGCGTATCACATTCTCTAGACTCTATTGAAAGTCAGCCCAGACTTGTGTACTGGAAAAGAAATCAGTAGCATACGGCCAGCACATCATTCACACTGTTTGAGGTCTTTTGAGCAGCCATGGGGGTAATATTGTTTATTGTTTGTGAGTAAGTACAGAGCATGCCCGAGGCTCGTAGCCCCCTGTCATGGTAACCCCACATCCTTCTATCCATGCGCCAAGGCGCTCATCATCGTGTGCCAAAATTTTCGACTCAAGAGTGGGAGAAATATTGAACATCTAAATCCCACCACCACCATCACCTTAATCCCAACATCAACACTACCACCTCTAAATACAATTTCTATAGGTTCTCTACCATTCAGGCAAAATCACCTAAGCCTACCAGAAATGTTCCGCCGTGCTCTCCTCCAGCAATCCCGCCAGTTCTCATCTAGGACATTTGCCGCCGCGGCGAAGCCATCATTCTCAATCGTCCTTCCATCCATCCGACAATGCGCCCCTACACTATCCCGGGGCCGTTTTATGTCCACAGAGGCTTCATCAGAGAAGGCTACCGAAGAGTCAAAGCCTGAAGCTGCTGCCGCTGCCTCAAACGGTAACGGAAATGGAGATCTTAAGGCTGAATTGGAGGCTTTAAAGAAGGAGCTGGAGAAGAAGACCGAGGAGGCAAAGGACTTTAAAGTAACTTCACCCACAATCACCACCTCCGGAATCACCAATTGGACCCGTACTGATTCAATCGGAAACAGGATAAATTCACCCGCACTGTCGCCGACTTCCGTAACCTCCAGGACCGCACCGAGCGTGACATGAAGGCTGCCAAGGACTACGCTATTCAAAAGTTCGCCAAAGACCTTGTTGACAGCGTCGACAACCTCGACCGTGCCCTCTCGGCTGTTCCCGAAGAGAGCCGAGCTGACGCCGAGAACAAGAAGGAGCTCGTGGATCTCTACAATGGGTTGAAGATGACAGAGGGCATTTTGTTGAACACGCTGAAGAAGCACGGATTGGAGAAGATCGACCCTATTGGTGAGGCGTTCGACCCCAACAGACATGAGGCCATGTTCCAGGTACCGATGGCCGACAAGGAGCCTGGTTCGGTATTCCATGTGCAGCAAACTGGTTTCACATTGAACGGGCGAACTATTAGGGTATGTTACTATCAACCAATTGCTTCAGATTAGAACTTGAACTAATGATTCTGGATATAGGCTGCCAAGGTCGGCGTTGTAGCGAGCGCGTAAGAGGTTCTGTTGAGGTCTTACTTGCTTCTGGGGCGTATCTGATAGGTTGTGGAACCAAAAAATAATGTCGGGTTTTCTTTTCCTTTTTTTTCTCTTTTGTATTTCTATATGGTTTCTTACTTCTCTTCTCTACTTCTGGTGTCTATATTGATGTAAAGTATAGTGTTCACATCTCCCTCCTCCTCTTAACTATTCGTCTCACTGGGTAAAAGACATATTGTCGACTGTAAATATAAAACGGGTTATCATCGGTCAACTAGGGAAATTTCCATGCTTGCTGAAGAGTGCAATAAGTGCAGTGATCTCTTGTTATAACAATTATACTGAGGCCAATTGACCGACTATACGATTCAGTTCGAATAACCAACGGACTACGGCTTATTATGAGAGGAAGTTAGATAGTTGAGTCACTCGGGCTTTTTTCAGTTTATAGACCATCCATGACCTGTAAGAGAACTATAACTCTGGGTGTACTGAAGTACTACGTACAGCACGAACAATTCATAGACGTACGATGAATATGAGAAAACACGTCCTTCCTCCTTTGGGGTCCTCTCCCCCTTTTCCGTCATGAAATATCACTCTGAACCCTGATTTCTTTTTCTTTCTCTATCTCCATCTTTTACGCAATTATTACCTTTTCTGACTTCTCTTCTTGAGTTTTATATGCTTCTTTTGGCTTTCAAATCTGTCATTGTTATTGCTCATCATCCTCCTTTTGTGGGGTCTGTAGCAATACCAGTGGGGACCTAGGAGAGTGTATCCGAGAGTACTCCTGGCCGGAAAATTCGGAGGTCGAGTCTAGTTCAATTGAATTCGGCCTATGAATTAAACATCTAAGAGCCCCGCCTGGAAGCTATCCAATTCATGAATTCAACAGCTCAAATCATAACCCCAACCGGGATTTTGATTTGCAGAAGTTTTGACTGTTTGGTTCAAAATTATGGACGGTCTGAGAATAAAAAAACACATCCTATTCTGTGCTCAACATCTATCCAGACCCTTTACTATCCACAGTCATCCATTGCCCTACAATCAAGTTAACGCCTCATTACCACCTACCTGTGCCCGTGATCAACATTCGAGTTCAATAGTACTGTCACAACACTAACAAAACTATAGTATTGGACGAATACGATGAAAAAGATAAACCGATTAAAGAATTATATTAGAGAACTACTTTAAAGGGAGAAAGATTCAGAACCACTTTCGTCTAGATATCTAGACTCCGCTCAACTGCCCAACCTATCATTGCCAGCATTACCCGCCCAAATACCGCAGGAGGCCCTAAAAATTACAACCAGAGTAAACGATAATTTTCGTTACTTAAAATAAAGTTTACCGAGAATTGTAATTTCCACACTGGCGTTCTTACAAAAGTACCCTAAACAAATTTGTTACAGCCATTAAATCTTCAGAGATGATAAAGGAAACACTCTCCGCCCAAGGTCTTTGAAACACGGACATGGTAATATTTTTAGCTCGTTCGGATTCATCGAGACAAAGGGCTAGAATAGAAGAAGACTGGATGGACCAAATATCTTCACCCGCCAGGACTTGATGTACATGAGCTATCTTCTATGTTGTGTACGATCCAATATTTCCCCTCGATCTTATTCTACGGGAGAATGTCAATTTACCATGAAGGTGGTACTCTAAATGAAGGGATTTATTTGATATATCTAGAGATGGTGCATGTAGAATTTTATATATATAACAAAGGTAGTATTCTGGAGGAAAGAATTTGCAATAAATTAAAGACGTACGTGACGGGACTCTCTAACCAGGTCTGCTCACACCTCCTACCCACGGATCGAAGTTGACTGTGGGCTTGGTGTCGCAAATGATATGGCTCCGCTGGGTAATCTATACTCTTCGACCGTAATCACGGATGCTGCAAGACCGGACTTTGACATATATGGTCACCTAGATCTATATAGGATGTCAATATAAGCTGTAACATAAGAAGCATGAAGTCAAAAACGGCATTTTCACCAACACCAGGACGGGATCATGAATTCCTAACCAGAAAAGAATGATCTGTTCGGCATAACTAGCTGGTGCAGCTTGGGTCAACGTACTAGTAAATTTCATTTGGTTAAGGTGATCGTACGACCGAAAATTTGGAAATTTTATTGGAATGTTTCAAGAGACTGCATAAATCAATTTGTTTCAGTGCTATTCGGGGCAGGATTAGGCAAGAGTTTTCTGGAGGCAAGAGGTGCAGAGAGAGGTGCTTCACATATAGCTTACAGCACGATTGTAGGCGGATTCCCGAAAGTATCTCCGTCACTAATAAAGGAAAAACGGCAAGATACCTTTTAAATCCACGTAATCTACATGTACCTTTTATGATGATGTAGCTACAGACTAGACGGGACAAAGTACATGTAATATGCTTACATGTATGTACAGCCGCATTCGAAAAGTTTTGGCACCTCCGGGCTAAACTCACGAGGCAGTCCTTTCTACTTTGCAATTCTAATATTCGAGACCGTTATCAGAGAGAGCTACAATGTCTCTATTGCGTTCATACCTATCAATAAGTTGAGTATACGCGAGTGCCATGGTTGTTGGTGGGCTACAATTCATGAACGACTCAATATAGTAGGGTGCCAGTACTTTTCGAATGCGGCTGTACATGCACTTGATTTTCGACATGACCTGTCTGACATGCGGTCCCGTTGTCTTTTTCAAGGCTATATCCAACAACGAAAGCAAAAGTAGGACTCAATATACGGGCGCTACCCATATAGTGACCCAAAATATGGAATAAAACTTCTCTTCCTTAAGCTTTGCACACCATCCTCTTTCCACGTGTACTATTTATGCTATCCCTGTATCTCCATCAGCACATCTACTTGAAATATGGATGCCGGTATATCTTGGGAGGCCTATGGCCAGTCAAAGAAAAACTCTGCGGTACCTAATAGGTTGGGAGGGGGGAGTTACACGGCTTAGGCTCACTACTGTAAGTTCTTCATTCTGGTAACTTTGACAACTCGTTGGCTTACCAGGACACAAACAAACATATAGTCGTTTATCCGGACTATACAAATCCGGGGATATTCACGGTCCCATTTACTCCCACAGAGTGCAGCAAGTCATGCGTATAGTAAGGCTATATGTAGTCTGAATTAGAGTACTTGACACCCACACCTAGCGCAAGGAAGGTGGCACATTGCAGTACCGCATCGCATAAAAAACTGCATCCCTTGATTACACACCAAACACGCCTCGTGGGATATTCGTCCCTTCTCCGCTCAAGGGAGTGGGGAGGTGCAAATAAAGTTTCGGACGTTTTTTGTGTCGGGTTTCGTACATGCAACCCATGAAACCAGGTGTTGTGCCGCGGGTGATTATGCATGATCCTGCCAATGATTTGCGCCAACAGAGGGTTAGGGTTGTTGGATGTCGCAGAGCCGCTAAAGTTCAACTCCAACCAGGTACTGTCCCGCAGCGCCGGCTCACCCAAACCCCGATCCAGGAACGAAAATTCGAGATGCGGCTGTATTCGTCAAAAATACTGTACGAGGCCTCTGCTTGGGGAGGAGTAGGGGGCGCACAGTCAATTTTTCGTGTTCGTCAGGTCTCTGCGCTTGGACAATGGCATAGAAGGAGAAATTTATCTTCAAGTCTGTCTCTGTCTATTACTAAGATATATATATACAAATAAAAGATTGCATGCACTGATACTTACAGTCTGGCACTCCCACAGAGTCCTCAATTGAGCTCGAGAACCAGCAATTCCCCACGGACAGCTGGACAAATCTCCCCCCGCACATAGCCTCCGCGCTCCCTCGAAAGCTACACCTACAGCCCTCACATCCCATTGCCATAACCCGCAAGCTCATCGAGTCCCGCTTCCCCGCTGCCACCTACAAGCCCTACAATGACCTCTCCCCCATTGTGTCTGTTCACCAAAACTTTGACTCCCTCGGCTTCCCACTTGAGCATCCTGGACGTAGCAAGACCGACACCTACTATGTCAACGCTTCCACCGTGTTACGCACCCACACGAGCGCTCACCAAGCCGACACATTCCGAGCACAGGAAAGCGATGGATTCCTCATATCTGCGGATGTCTACCGCCGCGATGCGATCGATAGAAGTCACTACCCGGTGTTCCATCAAATGGAGGGCGCGCGCATGTGGTCACGGGACGAGTACGGCGGAAATGTAGCTGCTGCTGTCTGGGCCGACTTTGAGAAGCTCCCGAAACACGACATGGTCATTGAGGACCCCAACCCTACCATACACCCTGAGAGGAACCCCCTGCAGGCTTCACATACAGCAGAGGAGGCCGGAGCTATCGCGGCACATCTCAAGCGGAGCTTGGAGAACGTTGTCGTGGAAGTCTTTGGGCAGGCAAAGAAGGCCGCTATTGCAGCGGGGGAGGAAAAGGGTGACGAAGAGCCATTGAGGGTGAGGTGGATCGAGGCTTACTTCCCGTTCACGAGTCCTTCATGGGAACTTGAAGTGTTCTGGCAGGGTGACTGGCTGGAGCTCCTGGGGTGCGGCGTTGTACAGCAGCATCTTCCCACAAACGCTGGTATGCAGCACTACCATACCAACCCCAACAAAGCAAAACTAACTGTTGTGCAGGCGTCCCCTCAAAGCTAGGTTGGGCTTTTGGAGTTGGTCTTGAGCGTGTCGCAATGCTACTCTTTGGAATCCCCGATATCAGACTGTTCTGGAGTCACGACCCCCGCTTCTTGGAACAGTTCTCGGAGGGTAAGATTAATCGCTTTGTGCCCTTCTCGAAACACCCGCCTTGTTTCAAGGATATTGCTTTCTGGCTCAAGAGCTCCAGCAGTGCCGCTGGTGGAGGTGTTGGTGCGGGTTTCCATGAGAATGATATGATGGAATGCGTACGCGGTGTTGCAGGAGATCTTGTGGAGGATGTTAGGCTGGTATGTACCCTCCCACTCCCACTTAGAAGAACAATGGGATAGACTGGTAACTTACATGCGCGGCGGGTGGATAGGTTGATGAATTCACACACCCTAAAACGGGCAGGAAGAGCGTGTGCTTTAGGATCAACTACAGAAGCCTGGAGAGGACCCTGACGAACGAGGAGATCAACAAGCTGCAGGAAGACGTGAGGACTGCCGTTGTTGAGAAGCTAGGCGTGGAACTCCGGTAAGCACCCGGGGGTTACTACCTAAACACTTTTTACTTTCTACTACCATGGGGGATGTGAGAATCTCCTCTCAAAATAAAGACCTAGCGTGAACCAGCACCGAGTGACAAGCCATGATCTTGCCCTCTCCCTTCCTCCAAAACCTAAACGAGAGCCTATCTGATGAGTTGTCAACTCGCCCAGTGATCAACTTGCCCAGTGATCATGAGTGGAACAAAAAAATAAAAAAGCCTCAACCAAGCCACACATAATGACGTTATGACCAACCTAACAAACTAAGCGGCGCTCAAGCCTCCCGTGTGGGGGTTTGCGTAGGGGTTCAAGACCTCGGGACTCAGATCGCGCGCAGGGAGGGGGGAGAATGTCTGTGCTGTTTATCGCTAACCTGACTCGTTAGATCGATGTCTTAATTTAACCTACTCTACATATATCCCGAGATAGGGTGATGCGATGCGATTGATAAGATGACGGCCAAGAGTTCGTGAGACCCTCTCATCCATTGCCTAAATGTACCTAGAGTATATGTGGGCACTAGTCCTGCGTGATGAAGCCCTTTGCTCCAGAGTAGAGCACCTAGACTACAGTACTCTACATGTACCTACTCTAGCAGTATGTACCTAAATGCACATCACATGTAGGTAGAGCACTAGCCAGGAACGACCAGACATCTATCTCTCCTCAATTAACTGAACAATACGCTGAGGCGATGGCTTTTTGTTTTTGAGCATACATGATAGTTGAACAGAAAAAAAAAAAGTATAAAAAAAAAGTAGAGCCCATAATAGCCAATAAATAGTTACTACAGCAATATATCCCTGATATCAAAATATCGATCAAGATCATGACAATATTGCAATCCAATCCAATCCAATCCAATCCACACCTCCCAAAAAAAAGAACAGAAAAGGAAACATAAAACGAACGCCAGAGATAAAAAGAAGAAAAAAATAGCTGATAACCAAGATACACATATTTCCCAAATAAACCAAAGGTAAGTATTTCTACTACAGCCAGATAGACAGCCAGCCAGACTCCCCCCTCCCTTAAGCTTCCCACAAGAAAGAAAGAAATAATAATAACGAGAAAAGTAAAAAAAAAATATATCACTCAGAAGAATAAGATAAAAAAAATAGACCATCAGCAAAAGAACGGGAGGAAAAACCATTACAACAACCCAACCCAACCTGAAGCCCTAATACCCATCCAAGCTCTTCGGCTTCAAGGCCACCAAGATCCACTCCTCCCACTTCCGCTTCACAAACATCACCGCACGATACTCGGCGCCCCGTCCATCGTTCTTCTCCCCGAGCAGCACCTCGGTATATATCCACACAAAGACCAGCACCCACCCCGCCGCCGCCACCACGCCCGCCAGGAACGGCCCAAACAGGTGCACCAGCACCAGGCGGACGGGGTCAAAGTCGTCAGGCGACGGCAGCGTCGACGTGGGCTGCGGATATATCAGGCGCATGTGCACTAACAGCAGCTGTGGAAGATATGGCGTCGGTGGGTGTGTGGCCAGTGTCTTGGGGAGGAAGAAGCTTCGGATGGGGTAGGTTATAAGGACGGCGAGGAGGACGAGGAGGGCGTAGAGGGAGCAGACGAGGCAGAGGAAGGGGTTGATAAAGGCGAGATAGACCTAAAGTGGGGGTGAGTGAGGTTAGCTATATGCTACATGTATTCAACCCTCTCTCCCTTGTTTGATTTTTGTTCCAATATGGTGATTGGGTGTTTGGGGGGGTATATATATGATGTGGGGTAGCTAGCTAGCTAGCTGGCTGGGGGTATGTGGATGCAGAGTGATTCTTCATGATGAAGAACCGTGGTATTTAACCACCATCCACAACCACGACCATCACCACAAACCAAACCACCACCCACCAACTAGCGCCGGGGAACACATGGAAAAACTCAACGTTTCTCTGAGTCCTTACCAAAACGCGCCAAACATATGACGATGTCTCTCTTGTCCCAGATCCACCAACATTCTCAATGTCGCCCAACGACTCAATTGACCGCGGCCTCTGCTGTCTGATATGGATCACAGTCGCTGTCGCAGCAGGAGGTGATGCGACACGCTCCACCACCACCACCGCCGGCCTTGAATCGCCGTCGGCGTATTCTTGCTGTCTTCCTTGCTGCTGATGCTGCTGCTGCTGCTGTTGATGCTGCTGCTCTTGCGTCTTTCCCACCGAGAAAGTGACGGCCAGGTTGTTGGGCACCGCCGCGGCTACGACCCCACCACCATTACCAATTCCATGTCCTCCATATCCTCCAACACTACAACCTCGTCCACTACCACCACAACTACATTTCCCTCCTTCTCCGCCACCACCACCACAGCTACCTCCGTTGCCACAGCTCCCACCTTCACCCCCGATCCCAGGCTGAAACTGCACCAATCCCTCGGATCGCGCCGCTTCAGCCGAGCTCTGGATCTCGTGTGACCGCCCGTCAACAGCGACATCAGGGCTCTGGTTCGGATGGGCCGCCAGGCCTGGCGGCGACTGAGAATTAGGCGTCATGCAGGGAGCGGCAGGGTGGGTGTGTGAGTTGTGTGGGTGGGTAGATAGGTAGGGTATGGTAAGATGAGTGCAAGCAAGCAAGCAGAACGCGACCGACGGGGGTGGTGGCGGACTTGACGGACGAAACAGACAATACGATATGAGCTACGATTCAAAGATTCCAGAAAACCGATCAACCCTGGGAACAAGAATGCAGCGGGCGGGTGGGAGGGATGAGGATGGGGGGGCAAGGGACCATTTCCTTCCTTCCAGAGTGCGGAAGGGGGGGGGGGGGGGGGGGGGGGGGTACAAGAAGGTAAGTTCTTCGTTTTTTTTTCTTTCCTTCCTAAGATAAAAAAAGAATGGGCCAGAGGGGGGGTTCAAAAAGGATTCGGAGGGGGAGGGAAAAAGGGAAAAGGAAGAGAGAGGATGGGGGACCAAAAAAACTCTCTCTCTTCTCCTCCCCCCTTCCCTTCCCTCCCTTTCACGGCCATGTCTGGTATGTGTGGGAAGCACACACAGCGCCGAGAGAAAACCAAGAGATCCATACAACCCAACAGCGCCGTGGCCAAGGCGGTGGTGAGAATTTCCGCACATATGCCAAACCTCTGGGCGCTGGGCAGCCTGGGCGTTGCGGCAACCAGACCGCATGCGAACAACAAACTCGGAGCTTGCGGCTGCTGTCTTAACTATGCTGGGCATCTACCACCGCAACACCACCCCCCACAACCACTACAACCTCTACTGGAACAACAACCACCGCAGCAAACCGAATTCAGTACTTACCCAGAGGTACTTAATAATGAGAGAATTAGTACATCCATGGCGGCAATATTAACAGTTGCAATAATAACAATAATAATAACAAGCAGCCAAGAGGTGTTACAGTCAAAACAGGTATGTGCTCTATCTACTATCTATCACCCAAGTATCTCCTACTAGGTAAGGTACTGTTATGGTACTGGTCTTGGTTTAAAAGTGATCGTGATTCCTTTTTTCTTCTCCCTCTCTCAATAGTTGTACATACACGCTTCAGCCAAATCTTTCAATGAAAAGAAAAAGAACACACACAAAGTAGGTAATAGTAAACAAAAAAGAAAAAGAATACTGAGAAAAGTAAAAAGATAAAGAAAATAATGACTCCCCAAGCGCCATGCGGACATTTGAAACAACGAGATAGCATTCTGTGTAGAACTCCCCTGTACCGAGTTCCCTTCACCTCAATAATGCTTTTCCTAACAAGTTTGAACAAACTCAGATACCCTCCCCCCCTACCAGTTTCGTTAATTTCCGTCATCAATCTTTACGACACCCAGTTATTTTCAGGCTCGCTGCTGCTGTGCCCACTACCTAATCTACCTAATCCAACCAGCTCTTCGACTCAAGAAAAAAATTCCGAAAAATTACATGAACACCAAAAAAAAAAAAGAGGATAAAAGAAAACACATGAAGACAAAGTAAACTAACACAAACGGTGAGTAAATAAAACAAAGGGAAGAAAGAATTTTAGGGCAGTAAGGTACGATAATAACAGAGGAGCTTCAGTCATAAACCATGTATTGCCCCCCAATAACTACCGTAAAAAATATTTTTTATTATTGGGAGGCAGACGCAGCTTATAGCACTACCTTGCCTGAAAACCGTACATACCAACGAAGTAAAAAAATGCTTTAATCCGTATCCAAAAACATCGCTACCATCGATCATCCGCGCTCGAAACAGTCGAGATTAAAGATCGCGGCTTTTTAGTAGCTCTCAAAACTCAATTGTCGCCTGAGGGTGCACTAGAAATTCCATTGGGACCTTCAGTGTTTTGCCCCTTGCCTGAGGGATCCCTTTCTGAATCACCCATCTCCTCATTATCATAATCCTCGTCTAGTTCGACCTTCCTAGCAGGTGGCTCGATAATTTCTTTCCGGTCCTCTCGGGGGGCTTCCGACATTCTTAATGCCTCTGTTCTTGACTCTGTCATAGGAGGGAGTTGCTGGTGACTAATCGGGGGAAGGGAGTTTGACGTGTGATGGTTTTGCTGGATATTTATCTGAGAGGGAAGCGATGGCTGACTGTGATGATATTCCCCTCCCCCCGGCCTTTCTGAGGAACTTCGCCTTCTAGACTCTTGATGTGGAGAAGAGATACGAACAGGCGGAGATGGTCGATGATGGTGGATATCATCCAACCTAGCTTTGTTCTCGTCTGATGCCGGCTTCTTGATGTGCTGTGCCTCTTCCTCCTCCCATTCCCTTGGTCTTTTGCCGTAATGAAGCTTCTCATCCCGGTCACTACCTCGTTCACCCCGTTCGCGCGCCGCTGCTTCCGCTGCCATTGTGGCCGAGGCTGGTGGTGGTGCGCCACCAGCGATGCCGCCCTGCGAAGATGAATGGTGAGGGTAACCTGTGTTTGGTGAGGGGAGGTGCTCGTCAACAATGGGTTTAACCTCCGGTGGAGGGCTGTTATGAGCACCATACGGTGGAAGGGTCATTGGATTACCATTCGACGCAGGTGGCAATATCACTTGTGAATTATGGTGGGGATTAAGAATACGACCAGGAGGTGGCTGCTGCTGCTGCTGGCTTTGTTGAGAAGGCTGGAATGGACCTGATTGGGATGGGTGGCTCGGGAATTTTGGCGACGGTGACAGCGGCCTTCTAAGGTGGTGCCTGTTTTCATCAACACGCCCACGCATGAGGTCAGGGCTATGGTCCATGTGTCGTTGCGGCGGTGGTGGGGGTGGGGGTGGCGGGCCGGACTGGTCCACAGGACGGTATGGTGATGGCTGTTGTTGAGGTTGCTGCAACTGTTGCTGTTGGTGTTGAGGGAGCTGGGGGAGTGGAGGGGGAGGGTGCTGTTGCGCTCGAGCTTGAGGGGGGCCTTGGGGTGCCTGTGAACCCCATTGTGGCCCTGGAGGACCGCCAACTCCTGCAGCCTGATAAGCCTGAGGATGCACATCCTGTGGAGGCGGCGCAGATGCTTGATGAGCTACACCAGATGACTGGCCATTTCTCAATAGCTGGAGGCGAGCTTTGATATGTTGGTTTTTGGGGTCCAGCTCAGCTGCGCGTTGGTAGGCATCAAGAGCATCGTTTGTCTGGTTGTTACATGATTCATACTAGGGTAACGTGTTAGTGAGGCTCAGTTTGTAGTAGAAATGAAGTGATTCGTACCAGCGTCCCCAAATCGTACCAAACCTCGGATATGTAGGGGTTCAGCCTAATTGCGCGGGAGTACGCATCTAAAGCGTCACGGTACTGGTTGATCTGATAGTAGAGAACACCAATAGAGCACCAGAATGTTGGGTTGCGGCCATCGCGATAGACAGCTTGTTGATAAGCTTCATACGCCTTGGGGTATTTCTGCTGAGACATGTAGCATCGTCCAAGGAGGTACCAACTTTGGGCATCCGAGTTGTCTTTGCGCGTGGTCAGTTATATCTTTCAAATAATTAATTCTGGCATAAAATGCATACCAGCGCTCACTGATTTCTCAAGGTACTCAATGGCAAGCTGTTGGCTATCAAAGTTGTTACTTTGCTGATGATGAAGCCAGCCAAGTTGCTGCAGGACCTTGGCATGGTTGGGATCTGATTCAAGAACACGCATGTATGCGTCTTTCGCGGCATTATACTATGATGACAAATGTCAGCCTCAAATACGCAATCAATCTTGTCAATTGGAGCCGCTAACATCTTTCTGCTGTTCATATACATGTCCGATCTGAAACCAGATGTCCTCCTCAGTCAACGGGCGGGGCGGGTCATTGACGATGTAGCGGAAACACTGAATTTTAGGTTAGCGCATTTGTGTGCCAAGATTTAAGGGTTCAATGTGGGGGTTAACTCACCTCAAGACTCTGTTGATATTTACGCTGCTGCTTATAAATTATACCCAATCTGAAATAGATTTCGTTTGCCTTCTCAAAGTTCGGCTCCATGCGCATCACTTGTGAGAATGCCTCTTCAGCATGTTCAAGAGACCCATAGCGATCGTACAGAATTCCAATTCCGTACCAAAGTTTCGGTTCCTAGAAAAAGGGGTTAATATGTTTGAGCGCAGTTGTAACCATGACGTGAATATAATTAATATAATTACTTTTGGGTCGCGAAGATGATACAAGGCCTGTTGATAGGCTGAATAAGCTTTTTGCAGATCATCCATCATCAAGTAGCAATGTCCCAAAGAGCCCCAGATATCGCCATTGTTTCCATCCAAGTTCAAGATGCTCTGAAGATATTCTACTGCCTTTGAGAACTGCTCTTTCGTGCGAAGAATGCACGAGATGGAATTCATCGCCGGGATAGAGTAAGGATTCTGGCGAAGCGCGTTCTCGTATGCGGCCATTGCACGGTCCAAATCGCCCATCAACTCCGTCAGGCTTCCTGCGTGGGGGTAAGTCGGGGGTCACGAAGAAGGATGATCATTTTTCGAGGGAAATTTCGGGGCGCTTACCGATTTGAAGCCATACTGTTTCATTTACATGCTGCAGATTCTGGAATGCTGTTGGCCGTGCCTGTTGTTGTTGTTGCTGCTGGATCGGCTGCGGTGGGTGACCGTTTGCTTGATGTAGCGGCTGGGATTGCCCATGACCAGGCGAGGTGGTATGGCTCGCCATCCTTTGATTCAATCAGATGGATTTACGAGTGTTGATGTCCTAACTTATGATAAATTAAGAGTGTTGAGGATGGGTTTATCGTGAAGGCGACGTTAAGTTGGGGTCGTTGACAAATCTACAGGGGCGAAAATCGATGTTGCGTATACTTGACGAAAGTATATTACGGGGAATTTTAATCGATAAAATTTATTTCGGGACACGCGGGTGGTGGTGCGATCACTTTCAACTCTAACGGGGGGGGGATCGGCCGGGTAGAACTATCTATTAGTGTCAGGGGCGGTTGTAAGCTTCACGGGGGATGTAGGGCGAAAGACGGGAAGCCACGACTACACAGGACCAAACACCTAGTATAATGGGGGGGTGGGGATGAGTGTTGTGGGGAAAGGATGTAATGATGACAGAGTATAGTGATGGAGGTAGTGGAGATGGTAATGGGCAAGCGGAAATGTCAAAGGTGATGGTGATGGGGGGCGTGATGGGGGGGGGGGGGGGGGTGATGATGATGATGATGGGGCTCAACCGTACCACAGAGCAACGGGCTATAGCGTATGCGTGTATTTATTCTCTTTTTCTCTCTCGGATCCCTCCTTTCTGTCCTTCAACCTGTTCGGACGGAACAACAGACCAGACTTCTCTCGAAGAATATCAAATGCGTTGAGGAATGAGAGACAGATGTTACAGATGATCGCGACGCGACAAGAGTTAGGGAGGGAAGAGCGATGACGGCTGCGTAGTGTGTACTAGTAGGAGAGGGAGAGTGATGGATAGAGATTGGGGGGGGGAGTTTTGTTGAGTAGTAGTGAGTAGTGAATTACTACTGACAACGTTGGCACTGGTAGTAGTGGTGGTGGTGGTGGTGGTGGTGGTGGTGGTGATAGAAGAAAGTAGGGGAGTTAATAGTACGGTATGGTGGTAGTGGTAGTGGTAGTGGTGGCAGTAGTAGCGGAGTCTTAGAAAGCCCCAAGCAACAGACAGACAGACACACACACACGCAAGAGGCGAGGGGAGCGAAGAGGGTAAGAGGAGAGAGGAAAAGAGAGAGTGAGAGTGGGAGGGAGAGAGTGAGAGCGGAGCAGCAGAAGCAAGCAAGCAAGCAGCAGCAGCAGCAACAAGCAGCAACAAGCAGCAGCAGACTGCAGCAACGACAGGACGCACGGCGGTGAGGTTGGCGGAAGAGTGGTATCGAAAAAAAGGCTCGGGGAGGGTGGTAGCACAGAACGGCAGTACTGCAGGCGGCAGGGAAGAGCGAAAGGGCGGAGAGAGACAGAGGCAGCAGCCACCCTCCCACTTCTTCCCTCCCACACCGCATCCTGCTCGTCTGGGTGAAACTCGCACAGCTATCTTGGCATGCATGCCTTCTTAGCGCAGACTTCAGGGATTTACAGAAGAAGGGGGTGCGGTGTGCTGCAGTGCTGCACCGGATTTTCTGTTTTTTGTCTGCATGCCTGTCGCTGTATGTATGTCCTGCACCACCATACACACCAAGCTATCATAGCGCAACTCTTGATGCCCCACATTGGGTCTTCCCACCCACGAGGGTTAACGAACGAACAGCCAAAAACAAAACGTCGAACCCATACCCACATCTACACCCACACTGTTACACACCCACCCAGTCCTCACACTCCCATCATAGACCACCACCCTATGGATAGATACTCTGCGAGTCACTCTCTCACCCCTACCCTACCATACATGTACCTATGTGGTACTCTACTCTACCATTTTACTCTACCCTACATGCCCTACAATAAATTATTAATACCCTCCATACCCTCACCTTCCTCCCTCACCCCCCAGTACCCATCGAAGATCATCCTTCCCTTCAGGCAAGAGCACCCCCTCGACCCAATGGTACTTTTTCCATAGGTCTTCCTCCCACACCTCCCCCCCCCCCCCCCCCCAAAATGCAACACATGGTCGGCACCCACTCTTTGCTTCTATGAGCGCTCTCAGCGCTTTGATCACATTCGGGGATTATTGTTTTTCTGGGAGTAGGTACAGGTCCTGCAAGTCGCAAGACTGCAACATTCGGATGCTTACTTTTTATATCTGCCGCCACCCGCTTCCATCTAAAAGGACCGATCGTAGTCACGTGTAGATATCCCATATTAGACTTTGCTACCTACATTTCGGATAGAGGCGATTCGTGGTTGTGGTGGTGTTGCTACAATGTGTGTCGCAGAACACTGTTGTGGTGGTTGATCCTTTGGTGAGCTGAAAATAACGAAACGGGAGACTGCAGAGACACAAACAAATCTCTTGGGGAGGGGAAGGGGGTGTGGTGGTAATGGTAATGGTGGTGGTGGTGGGTGCTGAAGTGCAGTGTTCGGATCGACTCGCCGCCTGATGGATGTTGTCGCGAGGCCGGGGTGGTGGCGCCGGGCGCTCTAACGCTTGGCATATCTCGTGTAAACCCTAACCCAGGGCTAGTGCACAACCGGGTCGGGCAGAAGCAAGGGATTGAGGCTCTGTCGGGTATCCTTGCGCTGACGACACACGAGTGGTCGCTTCCGCTCCGCTGCGAGTCTGTGACAAAGCACACGTCAACATCATCTCTTGGGTGCGCTAAAAACAACATCGGGAAACCCCCTTCTTTACGCATTCCTTCAGATTCTCTCTCCACCATGGGGAAAATCCCAACACACCCTTTTTTTTTTTCTCGCTAATTTTTCCAGTGTTTTTTTTTTTTCTTTCATTTCAAAATCTCAATTCTCTTTTTTTTTTTTTCCTCCTCTCGCTTTATCTTTTTTCTTTTTATCCAAAAAATTAGTAGGGTCATTAACAAACAAAGATGTCGAATTAAGGTTTCGTTGTTGCCAAGGTCATCTGAAACTTTCTATTCGTTATCCCGATGTCCAAACATAACAACCCTTTCTTTTTACTTTTCGCTCCGCTCCCTTGAATTTCTCCGAAGGTTCAGCGAACCTTAATTATCTAAACTGAAAGACCTCACCCTTCAAATATCCCCCCAAAACACATTCACTCTGATTGTTTTCATATAAGTTGTTAACCCTCTATGACGTAAGCCACGTGAGGAAGGTTTATGGGTGAGACGATGATGGCTGCAAGATATCTTCCTCGGTTGCTAGGGTTCACAACAAAAATAATCTTCGGGCTTTAGGGTAACCTAACACAGAATCATGGAAACAAGCTCGTTCCACCCCCCACCCATCGAAAATAATATTTTGTTCTCTGCTCTACCTATCTGCACTTACATATTACCGGGGGGAAACGTTGTTCTTGTGTTCGGACTTACGGAAGATCAGGCATACCCTATCGGTATCACCCAGAGTGTCTGATCTTACCTCCCCCCCCCCCCCCACACCCCACTCTGGTTGAATGAATACTATCCTTGCTGGCACCAACAGACGATGATATCGCCATACCGACGACCAACACTGCGACATTGCTTCTCCGTGGTAGAGTATCCATCTCTTCGTACTAGTATTCCGGTGGAGGAAGGGGGGAGGGGATGGCACTCGTGCTTTCTTAACCATCGACATCATCAGTACCAGCGGCTGTAGGAACAAGGTTGTAAAAGAACCGCCCACGATCGGTAGATATGTGTTTTCCAATCTGAGCCTGCGCTTTCTCATTCTCGAGACCAAGACTCTCCTCTTTTGCCCATAGAACACCATGTATCAGCACCATCTCCTAGGTAAAATCTCACTGGCGCCAACAATCCCACTTCTTCGCGTGGCAATTATCGTAATTCAATCACGGGGTTGAGGGTGTAGTGGGAAAAAGGGCTAGGCAGAAACGCCTGCCTAAGGAAGGATGCTCGAAAAAATGTCCTGTGCTCTCTATCCCAGGAGGCGTATATGCACGTGTATTCTTACTTCTCCCGTGGAATTGGGGGAGGAGGGAAGAGGTCCGCCTTGCCTTGCCTTACTTGACGCAGCGAGCCATTCGAGCAGAGCAGCAAAGCAGAGCATGATTATTTAATCCACCCTCCCGGGCTGCGTGCATGTAGTATGTTGTAACTGATCAACACCCGTCCAATTTTGGGCCCTTTATGTGGTTATTTTTTCGCTCCAATGTCCGGGCTATCCTTCGATCGGAAATCGAAGTGAATCGATGATACCCGAGAACGACCTAATCACCCGGCCCAGAGTACCTAGGAGTAGGTCCTTGGTACCTTGCCCTAGCTCTGGCTAAGGCTTGTTGTGTTCTGAGTTACTGGGCAAATTCCGGGGTTTGCGCGCCCGGTAACCACAGCTCCTCTACGGTCGGTTGCATCGTGGGGAAAGAGAAAGGGACAAAAAAATAAAAATAAAGAAGCCAACCCAAATCCATCGGCCAGATGCGACATTTTTTTTTCTAATCATGGATGGAAGAAGAAGAAGGAAAGTATCGGTGGGTGGTAGATGTGTACTGTATGTAGGGTAGGTACACATCGGTATATATCCATCCCACGGATTTTACGCAATGGGAACCTTGGAGCACAAGCCGACCGAGAGTTCCGTCCGTCTGTCTGTCTCTGCTCTGTCTGCCTGCCTGCCTGCCTGTCTGTTCTATCTGTGGGCCTCCGGCTCCCTCCACCAACGCTCCCCCCCTGAAGCGGGGTACCTATCATAACCGCCTCCTGCCATGCACATGGAAAACAACGCAGAATAATTGAAGGGTCCAATGGCAATGGCTCCCTAGGAAATTGGCCACTTTCGTCGTCCTGGTACCTCCCCTAGCTAGACAAGAAGTGAGATCTAATCCGTATCGCGCCCAACGACCCGGCCCGACCAAATCCAAATAAGATTATCCCATTTCCACATATGAACGAAGCGAAATAATAAGGGATCCCATCCCCCCCCTTTGCATCACGGAGGATCACTCGAGGTTTTACGTAAGTTGGGAATGATCTAGATTTTCGTTCAGCCCCATCAGAGTGACAGACCCGGGTCTGCGTCCATCAATGACGCACAAAGATTTAGACTCCATGCCGTGTGATCGGGTTCGGGAGGGAGTGGGGTTTTACATACGGAGTCTTCAATTTGGAGCAGCGGCGCTGAGCGCCCCCCCTCCCATCCCCTCCCCCCTTTCTGTCGAGGGGGACTGACTGACTGCTTTGACCGCCGCAGCAGCGCACTTTACAGAGCCTCTAGCGCCACCAATCTTGGGACATCCGCAGTGTTTGCACGTACCGGGTGTGCACGTAAAGTACGGAGACACCCCCATGTCCATTTTTTCATTGGTTGATTTTTGTGTCAACGCCATGGGTAGCAACCAAAGCAACCAATGGTGCCGGATGATTTTTACTGAGACTTATGTGGGAAAAAAATACCGAGACGTTCTCATATATTTTCACTTAAAAAATCGAATTTAATCGTTAAAAATACAAACAAAAAACCAGTAGTATCTCCCCTGCCTACCGCATCATCTGCATATCATTTCAGGCCGCCAGACTCTGTTGAGGGTTGTTATTTGGTGAAATTGTGATTGAACAGGAGTCAAATTGAGATGATGGAGGTTGCGTTGCAAAAGCTGGCAACGGGCTACCTCAAATACTTGCTTGGCTGCCAAGTGTCACTTTAATTCATATCAGCCCAATCAGAGTTCTTTCCAAACCCTCATTTTTAAAAATTCCCCAAAAAGGGGTTCTCAGTACTTACCCTTAACCCCCGGTACATCGTTTGCACACCCCGATCTGGGAAGGCGCAGGGATGCGTTCCACACGGGATTGGCATCGATCCTGTTGGTGGTTCTGGAGACGTTGCCAAGCATTCTCGCATCACATCAAGACTTCCGCTCAAGAAGTGATGATATAGCTACATATATGTAATGTAGTAACGAATGCAGCAACATCAGTGGGGTGCATACATAAAAAAGGTTTCTTCCTTCGAAAACGAGGCCGACCAAAAAAGTTTAATGTAACTTCACTTCCCCGGTTTCATATCCGGGAAGCCTAAGCTTGGTGGATTTGCGCCGTGAAAAGCGAAACAAGTTGCAGAACTTAAATATATATCCATTGCAAAGCTTGAGTGCCACAAGTTGCTGAAGGAGGCTCCGTGTAGTACCAAATAGGTAGGTATGTCTACAGTCGCAACTCGATATGCCGGAACTCAATACACCGGATCCCTTGCTGTCCCGTACGAGATCCTCTGAGAATATGATTTTTCCTACTGCAAAATCAATTTGCTATCCCGGATTTTTTGCTATCCCGTACGAAATCCTTAGAATCTTGGCAATCCGGCATATCGAGTTGCAACTGTAGTTAGCTAGCCAGCCAGCCATGTATCACCAAATTTAGTAGCCTGGAGTAATAATTGTACAGAATATTACTATAACCCACTCGATCTACATTAATCAATGCCTGCCAGATTCAAAACATCGTCTCACGCCCGTCCGCCGCCCGTCTGTCCGTCCGTAGGCACATACCCTACTACGTACAACCTATATATCACGGGAATGGAGCAAGAGACCCTTTCTGTGTCTGGCGGGCAGAAACACGTGGTAGATGGACAAAGACCTTTTTCTTCCCTTTCTTTCTTTCTTTCTCAGTATGAAAAGGATTATATGCATGATGAAGCCACTTCTGGGGTGTTTACGGTTGGATGCAGTGAGAGAGGTATGTCCTTTTCTTTCTTGGGGGGATGGTGGTATCAAGGGGCATTATGATCTTCCTTTGAGCGAGGGCTGGGGGTGCACTGTTGTGGTATTCCCAGGGACTCACATGGAGTCGGTGCATACAGTATCGATTGTATTATTGACAGACGTCTACATACAGTACGGTAGGTAGATGTCAGGGATGAAGGAGGCGAGCTTACAGCCAGGCACGCACATACGGTAGGAAAGATCTAATTCCGTCATGATAACCCAGCTGCAGATGCCTGTGTTTGGTTTTAGCTTCCAGCAAGCAAAACGTGGGACGTTGTTCGATCGCATTTACTATAGTTTGGCACTCTGTGTATGTACTCTGAAGTAGGTGTACCGCGGTAAAAAAAAAAAGGTGTTGCAGGGATGGAACCATGGCCCCAAACATTATCTATACATGTAGCCTACATGTACCCACCGAGAGAGAGTGGTCCGTAGTGGGTAAAGCAGCAGCATACTGTGGATTACATGTAGGTACATACAAACCTGTGCTCATGCGTGGTCGATGGATTGGTCCAAACTCACATGCCCAACTGATCTTGTGAATCGTGCAGTCGATTTCGGCGCGCCGGGGGGTTTCCGAGCTCCATCAGCGTGAGAAGTGTCCTTTCCTCTCCTCCCCTTTGCTTTATTTTACCATGGCAATGCGAGTATGACATGTCCTCTAGCGAGAGATCCGGGAGGGGGCAGAAAGACTTCTTGAGTGAGAATCCCCTTTAGAGTTCAGCCTCAAAAGCCGATCTTGTTGAGAAATGGCTTAAGGTACCATGTAGGCATGGACCTACATAAAGATCTCATCCCCGTCCAGCCCTGCAAATTCTCCGTTCTAAGCCGATGGAGGGTGTACATGTAGGTAGGTACTCTAGACTCGTACTCTAGAGTATGTAATGTAGGTACCTTCTCCAGGGCGGATATTGAAATGTGTGATGATCATTGCCCGTCAGCAGGGCATCAAATCATCCCTTCCAAAGCCGTCTTGGCGAGAGACTCTGAAGAGAAAGCTCGTCTCTGGCTGTCTGCTGTTGCAGGTTAGGCTATTCCCTGTTCCTAATCTAAACCCAATCCATACCTTAGGCTCAACAACGCCCCCCCATCACAATCCCCAATCCCTCACAACAACCCTCGGCCACCCGCTCGCTCCCACCTCTCTAGAATACATCCCCCCCCCCCCAGTCTCCCAGTCCTGTCTAAGGTTCCCGCTGTCTGTCGTCACTTGCGAACCAGCAACATCCAGCACAGGAAAAGCACACAGACTGACCAGCAATGCCGCGGCCAGCAACAAGCGCTGTGATACCTGCTGGCCAGTAACTAATTCAAACCTACATCATACCTCTCCCGAAGAACGAAAAGAACAGTTACGGTACCTTACAATCTACAATCTACAAACGAAAGTGTGACGATCAGCAATACGACCTTCCCCATCCCATCCCCATCCCTCTATTTTCTTCATTTCCTTACAGAATAATAAAACTTCCTCTCCCGACCAATAAATTCAGTACCAAAGAAACATAACGAAATTAAACAAGAAAAAAAAAAAAAACAGTGTGATTTATATTATATACTATAATAACCCTTACCATGAGCGACATTAGGGTTTTTGTCACGTTCCCCGAAACGTCAACCGTCTTTGCTGGGGAGAAGCTCGAGTGCAAAATCACCTTTAAGAACGTCTCGTCAGTGCCCGGATCTAGCCGAGGGGGAGGAGGAGGAGGAGCAGCTCCACCGCTACATCTACAGAAGCCGACAGGAAACGTCTATGGCCTCCCAGCAACGAATGGAAGCTTGGTAGCACCTGGAGGAGGAGGAGCTGGAGTAGGAGCAGCGGTAGTAGGTGGACGTCCGAGTAGCAGAGCTGGGACATCACAACTTCCGGCAACAACGGCGCGCTCGGGTGCCGTGAGTCCGAGGATTCCTGCAGGGACCGGCCGGCCGACTTCGGCGCACAAACCGTCGCTTTCGCTGAGCGTACCCGCGGGTAAGGTTCCGCCTACATCTCCGGTGTCTGCTTCGACTACCAATGGCGGGATTGGGCATAAGCACAAGAGATCGATATCCATAGTTTCGATAGGGTCCGAGGCTGGGGGGCTGGAAACCGGAGGTCGCGAAGATTCGAGATCACCAAATACGCAGGGGAGGGCGAGGAGTCATGGGAGATCTGCTTCGCTGCACACATTGCCTAGAAGATCACCCATGCTGAATGGGTTTACCCCAACCTCAGGTATGCATCCCGCGAACATGGTTCCGCTGCTATCGTGAAAGTCGCTGACAATTCTATAGCTATATCCCCTCAATCACCATTCCGACCCTCCCAGTCTAGCACTCCCATAGCAGAAGCACAAACGCCGGGCGCCTTTTCCTTTGCTCCCCGGACACCTATTACACCTACAACACCTAAAACACCTGGCGGCTTCAAACCTACACATTCGCAATCGAAATCAATACACAAGGCCTACAAGTTCCCACCCGGCCCGACCCCACTCCTCATCACTACGGAAAGCTTGTCATCGGATGAGTCCACCTCAGAAAGCCAGCCGCAACCTGTGCGGAAGGTTTCACATATCGCTCTCCGGAGCCCTACGGACGACACAGATCCTGACCGTGCACAGAGCCGAGTGATATCTGCGCACAGTGTGGGCGGTGAAACACCGCGATCAAGCGGGGAATTCTATTCAATGTCGAATAGCACGACAGAGACGCTAGTCTCGGAATATGACCCCCGGGCAGCGGTGCGCACCGTTAAGCAGACGCATAGTAGGCGGCATAGTTTATTGGCCATTGGCCCGCGATCATCGGAATCGCTGATGATGGGCTATGCACAGGTATCTGGGACATTCACGTTGGATGGGTCGCTAATACAGACCAGCATATTCGATGATGTAAAACGACGGGGAGTGGTTGGGCAAATGGGAGGTGGAGTAATAGGGCTGGAAACCAATAAGAGTGATGGTGGATTCTTGAGTGGGTTTGGATGGAGCAGTTTTGGCGGCGGGTTCGGTGGGCTTCTAGGAGGCAATAATATGAGCTCCATCGCCGAGATGAAAACAATAGCCAGTGAATAGACCCTTCCCCGACTAATTATCGCGGGAACGCAAATGTTGACCAAAAATAGGCTCAAAATCGATTCCCATACTGTCAACACCACAATCTATCCTCTTTGTCGATTTGCGGTTGGCAGCGGGCGAAAGTAGAACATATACGTACAGCTTTACCCTGCCAAAGGGGATCCCACCTTCCCACCGGGGAAAGGCCATTAAAGTGACCTATAATCTGGTGATTGGAACACAGCGGCCCGGGAAGGGAGTTCAGCAACCGAAAGTCGTTGAGATCCCTTTCCGGGTGATTCCTCATGTAGAACGTAAGTCTTGATATATCTCGATCCAGTATAATGATATCCATCTAATGTATAACAGCGGGTGGCTATTTACATACTCACGACCTCATGTCCCCCGTTATTCTTCTCCGCGATGAAGCCACTATATCTTGCGTCGAGGAGCAAAAAGCTCTAACACCCCCGGACCCATCCGCCCCCAAGAAACCGGCCAAACAAGAATCTTCACTAGATGACTTCCTCTCATATGTTGATAGACTACTAGCGCCTCAGGACTATAATAATTTCCAAAACCCACTCGGTATATTATCACCATCGGTACCCATGATGTCAAAACGAATGTCAATGTGGGAGGAGATGCCAATAAGCTCCAAAGACGCAATTGAATTTGCGGTTCTGCGGGGTGCTGGAGGATCTACGGATGCCACACAATTCGAGATTGCGAGGAATGGGAGAAAGGTGGCTAGCCTGACATTGGCACGGCCAGCCTATAAGCTTGGAGAGACCATAACTGCTGTTATCGATTTCTCGAAAGCCAAGATCCCCTGTTACCATGTAAGTCCATCACCTATCTAGCTATAATTTGTGCTTTAAGCTACTCTTGGTATTGACAACTCGCTAGATCAACGTATCTCTTGAGACTTCCGAAACCGTGACCCCTTCTATCGCCCTCCGCTCCCCATCTAGCATTCACCGCGCTACCCGCAAAATCCACTCGCAACACTCTGAGTCAACCCTTTTCGCAAAGCGCGTTGTCTTCACACCCACAATCCCCCCAAGCGCAACCCCCGAGTTTAGCACATCCGGCGTATCGAATAACTGGACGCTCCGCCTCGAGTTCGTCACCCCAGTGCTCTCTGCGCGACTCAACCCCAACGGCGGGGAAGAGGCCGTGGCCGACGATCTTCTGGAGCTGACCCACGCAGATGATCGCGGCGAGCTGTTTGAGGCCCGCCAAGGGCTGCTGGTCGAGAGCTTTGATGCGAGTGTCCCTGTCAAGGTGTATCCTAATGCGGCGGAGGTGGCCTGCGGAGGCAGCGTGGGCACGCAGACAACCGCGGCCGCAAAGGTCGGGTATGTTGTATGAAATTTGATCTTCCTTGCTAGGAATCCTCTTTCCCACTCATCCTCTAGTTTGTGTCTTTATATATTTCTTTCTTTTTTCTATTGTGATTTGATCTGCATGTTGCTTCTTCTTTGGGTTACTTGAATCTGGGGGCTGAGGGCTGGCGGGTATGGGGGGAATGGGTGGGTGGGTGGGTAGGGATGGGGGACGGGTCAGGTTGAGAGGGGGCTGCGGGAAGCTTCTTCTTATGGCGAATTTTACTTTTATGGGCTCTTTTTTTTTTATTTCTTTCTGTCCGGTTCTGTCGTGCATGTGTGCATTTTTTTTCTTTTTTGTAACACTTTTTTTTTTTTTTTTTTTTTTTTTTTTTCAGATCGATGGACCATTTTTATGTATGGATAATTTAGTGGATTCATAAATGGGGAAAAACAGCAACGAACAGAAGTTTCTATGGATGAGTGTGATATTGGGGTTCTCTTTTTTTTTTTATTCTTTCCTCTCTCCTCTTACTATATTGTACTGTTGTTGTCGTGGCGGTATAGGCTCAGTCGGCGGCCTTTTGTATGATGATGTCGATGATGGAGGGCGAGGACTCTTGTGCGAGATGAGAGAGAGAGAGAGAGAGACATTGTTGGAGTTTTTATCGTTTTGGTTTTATGGTTCTGATGGGCGCATATAAATGTCACGTCACACAGAGAAGTACCACCTACCTGCGTGTGGTTCTACTCAACCCAACACAGCTCTGCTACCTACATAGAGTACATACATGTACCTACCTTGAGCTTACAGAGATGGGGGAGTAGCAGTAGCAGGACGCACGGCAGCACTTGCCTTCTCCCATGTTGGGTCGCTGTGCATCTCGAGAAATGACTGGTTTGCCAGTAGAGTAGGTACCCTCCAGACGTTACCCATGATGATGACGATGATCATGATGATGAACCCTGAGTCTACTCTATTTGCAGCATGCCGGCCCGTGAATTCAAAGCACGACAAATCCTCACATCCATATGTACTCTAGGATCTGCACGCATATGTAGCTATGCGAAAAGAGAGCCCTACGTACGATGATAACCATGGCTGCCCCCGGGCCCATTGGTAGCCGTGATCTTATCGGCGCACGTTGGCTATCGATGTTCGTTTCGTTTCACATTTTGTGCTGGCGGGCTGGCTGGCGGTAGGGCTACATGGAAATATGTACCATCCATGGTACTCTACTTCCAGCAAATAGCCACTCTTCTCTGCTGCTGCTTCACTACTCTAACCCCCCCCCCCCCCCCCCCTCCTTTTCTCTTTGACACCCCCCCACACCTGCTGTGCGTTTTCGGGTTTTCGGGACATACCCTTCTGCTGCTCCTGCTGGGGCGGGCAACCCGTCGTGTGCGCACCGCTGCAATGCGCTGTGGTAAAAATACCCCCCATTACTGCTCTGGAGTAGAGTAGAGTACCACCGTTGGTGTTGTGTTCTGGTAGTTGTGTTGCAAACCGGGCTCGGTTGTGTTGTCGAGTCACGTTTTGGAGCACACTCACTCAGACTCTCACCTTACTCACCTCTTGTGCTCTCTACCAAGAGTGCTTTAATTCTCCCCACCCATCCCCCCGATGTGCCGCATGTAGAGGTAGAGTAGAGTAATACATACTCTACTCTCCCCGCCGCCCCCCCGGCCATCGGTGGGAAATCGACAGCTACATGTAAATCTACATAGAGTACCTACTCTGCTCTCCCTTGGCATGACTTACCTTACCAGTCCCGGCTGGAATCTGGTATGGTGGATGATTCGCATGCTTAAATTGCAGTCTGTTTCGCTACTCTGCTAGCATGTAGGTATATGTGGGCAGGGTGCATGCGATAACGACTACGACTGAAAGTGCACTACGGTAGGTACCCAACTGGCGATGGATGGATGATGATCATGGAACCCGATGGAACAGACAGACAGACCTCCCGAGGGGCCGAGTGATTGCCTGTGAAGTGTGTGCGGCTCTTACGGCACACTCTAAGAGGGATTCGGAACCAGGCCGAGGAGGGCACGGCGAGGGAGAAAAAAAGTGTTAGCGTTGCGGTGGTTAGGTTGGGCTAGGGGTAGAGCAGCACCCCTCCACCCAACCCACCCTGGCCACCCTGGCTAGAGTGAGGACTAATCGAGGGCGCCACTTATTGGACCCCTCATCTCGACCCCACCATACATACAATCTTTTTTCTCTCTCTGCTGCTGCTGCTCGGAACTCTACGAGAAAAAGTCGAGAAAAAGTTGTTTGGAAATGTCTGCATCAAAGGTTCTTTTGCTGGGGAGCGGGTTTGTGGCGAAGCCGACGTTGGATATTTTGGCCAATGCTGGAATCCAGGTTACTGTTGGTGAGTTTTTTTTCTCTTTCTTTATGGGGAGTTTGTTTGGTTTGTTTAGTGTTGGTGGGAATTGGGCTTGCTTGGACGGATTGCTGACGCATTGGTGGTGCAATTGTAGCTTGCAGGACCCTCGAGAAGGCTCAGGAGTTTGCCAAGGGTGTTGAGAACGCTTTCCCAATCTCCCTCGACGTCTCAAACACCAGTGCTCTTGACGCTGAGGTTGCTAAGCACGATCTCGTCATCAGGTATTTACTTACTTACCTCTCCCCTCAATTCTCCTCAATTCTTCCCAATTCAATTCTATAAGTATCTCCCATAGCTAACACACAACCCCCCCCCCCCCCCAGCTTGATCCCATACACCCACCACGTGCAGGTCATCAACTCGGCCATCAAGAACAAGAAGCATGTCGTAACAACCTCCTACGTCTCCCCCGCCATGGCCGAGCTCGACGCCGCCGCCAAGGAGGCCGGTATCACCGTCATGAACGAGATCGGCCTCGACCCCGGTATCGACCACCTCTACGCCGTCAAGATGATCGACGAGGTGCACAACGCCGGCGGCAAGATCCTCTCCTTCCTCTCCTACTGCGGTGGGCTACCCGCCCCCGAGGTCTCCGGCAACCCGCTCGGATACAAGTTCTCGTGGTCCTCCCGCGGTGTGCTCCTCGCCCTCCGCAACAGCGCAAAGTACTACAAGGACGGCAAGATCGAGGAGATTGCAGGCGAGAAGCTCATGGAGGCCGCCAAGCCCTACCATATCTACCCTGGCTTTGCCTTCGTCGCGTACCCCAACCGTGACTCGTCGCCGTACAAGGAGCGCTATGGAATCCCAGAGGCGGAGACCATCATCCGTGGTACGCTCCGCTATGCAGGCTTCCCCGAGTTTGTGCGCACGTTGGTGGATATCGGGTTCTTGTCGGATGAGCCGGCCGACTTCTTGAAGGAGTCGATCCCGTGGAAGACGGCGGTGGCCAAGATCTTGGGATCGAGCTCCGAGAAGGAGGAGGATCTTGTCTGGGCCATTGGCAGCAAGACTAAGTTTGCCGACAACGAGGAGAAGAACCGCATCATTGCCGGAATGAAGTGGCTTGGTCTGTTCAGCGAGGACAAGACTATCCCCCGCGGTAACCCGCTGGATACGTTGTGTGCTACGCTGGAGCAGAAGATGGAGTATGGGCCGGGCGAGAGGGACATGGTTATGCTCCAGCACAAGTTTTTGATTGAGCTTGCTGATGGAAAGAAGGTATGAATTCCCCACCTTTATGCTTTTTTGAATTGCTTTGCTGACAGGAGTAGGAAACTCGCACTTCTACCCTCATCGAGTACGGTGACCCCAACGGCTACAGCGCCATGGCCCGCCTTGTCGGTGTCCCCTGCGCTGTCGCCGTCAAGCAGGTTCTTAACGGAACCATCTCTGAGCGGGGTGTGTTGGCGCCTATGAACGCTAAGATCAACGGCCCGTTGATCAAGGAGCTCAAGGAGGAGTACGGCATCGAGTGCATTGAGGCCACTGTTGCTTAGATGGGATATCTCGTCCTTGTGCATGTGCTTTATTAGCTTGTATCCTGTATTTAGAAATCAAAAAACTGTTGCTATAGATCCTTGGTGTGGACTGTGATGTGATGCGATGTGTGAGCGATGCATTGTGTTGTGTTTATGTGTTGTGCAGGCTCACAGCAGATCACTCGGCAACACAGAAGCCTCGCGATCTAATCAGATCATCATGCGATAAGATAAGGCCACATCCCGGTCGCTAGCTGCACGACGTCCCATTTGCTAATTTATTTTCACCTCGAACATTTTCTCTCCATCCCACACAATCTCAAATCCCAAACATCCACACAACAAAATGGCGAAAAAACGCAGATCAACCGCATCAAAGGGGCCCTCGGGCCCGCGCGAACTTAACCCCGAAGACGCAAAGATCGCAGCCTTCAGTACGTTGCCCAATTTCAATTCCAATTTGCTCACAGGCAGAGGATTGTATGCTAATTGGTAACCCACAGATACATGGGAGGACATTCCAGACGAGGAAGACGAGTTCCACATCTCGCGCGACAAGGTCCTCCTCGAGGGTGAGAACGTGGGCCGCCGCAGGGTCGACGAGTACGGCGAGGTCAGCGACGAGGAGGTGCTGGCGCTGGATAACTACATGGACGACTCTGAGGGCGAATCTGAAGGCTCTGAGGGCTCTGAGAACTCCGAGGACGAAGAAGAAGAGGAGAGGGCTCCGAAGAGTAAAAACAAGGGATCATCCAAGAAGCAGCAGCAGCAACAAGAAGACACAGACGACTCGGACGCCGCCCCCACAGACAACGAAGACGAAGACGCAGAGGGCTGGGGCACGTCAAAGAAGGACTACTATGGCGGCGACACTATCGCCACGGAACAAGACGCCGCGCTTGAGGCCGCTGAGGCACTACGGTTGCAGGCGAAGCACGCCGCGGCACTCACGGAGGCTGACTACGGCTTCGACGAGGCCGACTGGGCGGCGCCGGAGCCCAAGAAGGAGCTCGTCGTCGGGCAGAGCCTCGTCGTGACGGAGGAGCTGCCCACGGCGGTTCCGGAAGACCTGAGTGCGGAGGAGCGCACCAAGCTGCTCGAGGCGCGGCACCCGGAGTTCCGGCTGCTCGCGGAGGAGTTTGTGGAGCTGCGGGCGCTGCACGGGGCGCTGG